AAAGCTACTAGACACACATTGACATACCTAATAATGTATATCATCCCATCAGCTTGGCTCTTAGCTTATTGGCTGCTACTGCATATTATGATAAATAGCATCCAGATTTTTTCTCAATATTGTATCCATATCTAACAGGGATTTGAGATCCGTGTCTGGTTTAGTGGATCCAGGAGAGATTTACGTTTGTTTGGCGGATCAAAGAGAGTTTTGCGTCTGAAAAAAAGCGAACAATATCGTACTAATTGAGCTCACGAGTTTCGACAAGTGGGATCAGAGTCTGGTTCGGTTCGAAACAATGGACGTTAGTTTTTTGGGACCCTCATTCAGTGACCTCGGGATTTGAGATCCGGGTCTGGTTTAGTGGATCCAGGAGAGATCCACGTTTGTTTGGCGGACCAAAGAGAGTTTCGCGTCTGAAAAAATCCTTGTACCGAGAAACCCATCTATATACGGTGTCTGGCAAGCCCACACGGATTTACTCTTGGATTCCTTCCCAAAAAGCCTCGTACTAATTGGGTTAGATGGACACTAATATCAAAGAGTCTTTTTCCTTGTATTTCCGATGTGGTACTTGGATTGTGCCATAAGTAACAACTCGAACTTGGAAGCATTGGTTACCGTTTGGTCACCCTAGCACATCAAACCTATACCCAAAGGATATGCCAATCTTGAAAGCACGTGTATGACTAAGCTTACTATCAGTCTTTCAAAATATTGGTGCACATTTGTCGACCATGCATGAATCTCTTTTTGTTTTTTTTCCTTTGCGACGTTTTTTCTGCAGAAATACTCTCACGATGACCCAAAAGCAATAAAACATCTCTTTTATGACTTGTTTGGTAAAATCTGATCGGAAATATTATTTTCATTTGTAATTAGTAATTTCATAGAATTTCATTTTCAATGTTTTTCGTTCAATCGGGTGCCTTTATTAATAGGACTGGCTATTTGGTCCGCACTGTTTGGTTTTATCCGAAATCGGATCGTATAACTCGGACCGGGACCGGACTGGGACCAGATAGCAAACAATCCAATCTCATATTCGGGCTTAGATTTGAGGTAAAAAAACCCGGATAAGACCGGATAAGAGACCCCAACACTCAAATCCCCACAAGCTCAATCTAAAATCAAGATCAAATTGGGACCGGATCAAGACCGGACTGTATCCAATCCAATGTTTGGTCCTTATATTCCCGAAAAGACCGAACTGGAACCGGATCAATTTGGTCTAATTTAACCGGACCGAACCGTATAACGACCCCTATTTATTAATAGTAAGATATCTAACATGTAGCATACCTTTCTTAAAACCAGTGAGGGCTAGGGCAGTGTGCTTGTAAAGTACATACTACCAAAACATACTTCAAAATTACTGATTAAGGTTGCACTTTAAGCCAGACCGCAAATAAGAGGCCATTTTTCCCGTAGTGCTCTTTGATAGCTTGATCTGAGCCAATTACGAAGATAAAGAGATCGTCATAAGAAAACAAAGATGATTAAGAGGGACATTCTTGCACATCGGGTGATAAGGAAGATAACCAGAAGATGCCGAAGAGTTTAAAAGCTCAGTCAATCCTTCCACTATAGTAGCAAATATATAGGGTTACAAATAGTCACCCTCTCTAACACCATTCTTAAGTTTGAAACTTGAAGGTAGCCCATAACAGGCAGAAACTTGAATATGTAGTCCCAATGTACAGATTCAACTACTTTCACGAGATAAATTTTTATTGCACATCTCGATGAAAGCAAATATACCTTCCATAACCACTGACCAACTACTCTTGTGTTAACATGATGGTATCAATAATCCATCTTTATTTAATGAAAACTATTTGATTTTGGCTCAGTATAAAAGGGAGAACCTCTCCGAGCCGATTGGACAATTATCTTTCCTACAATTTGTACAAAACATTCACACAAGAAATATTGCGAAAATATTTCAGTTGCTCAGCTTTATTTATTTACCTTTGGACTATGAGAAACGGTTGTGCCATTGATTCCCCTTAACCTCCTGCCAGGATCAACCAAGTCATAAATCCCCTAGTGGCATCTTCACCAATTATAAGTCATGTTCTTCTAAAAAGTCTGACGAGAATCCATTAGGACCTGGAGCTCGATGAATATTCATATTAGATATGCTATTAATCATATTAAAACGACTGTTTAGCAATGTCCAATGCACCATGCACTATGGTCTCTCCATCCGGCGCCAATCATTTCCTCTCACCATTTTGATGACTGAACATCGTTCACAAAAGCAATGCATGGTTGCACACTGGGTGCACAATGAAGCAAAAGATTGTGACATTGCTCACCCCACAACGAAGCAAAATATACTTTGATGGTATATGGGTAGAATTTGATCAAGAAGTCAAGGATTTGTAGCGCAACGGCTAATCTTTTGCGAGTATAAATAGGAGAGTAAGGGTAGAAATCAACCCAGAGATAAGAAAATTTGAGAGTTATAGTATGTTGAGGGGATTTTGATATGAGAAGACAGTGACAATTAGCCACAGCTCGTGACTTTTGACCGATCTTCGTCTTTTTGGCATTTTTCGACCTCCAATTGTCACGGAACTCGTCTCGGACCTTCCCACGCATACTAGGGCACGGAATGTATCAAAACAAGCACAACCTAATCTAAAATAGGTCGAGAGACCACGAAATGCACAATCAAACTATCAAAATATGAGGGGTAAAAATAAAATATCTACAATTAAACCCGAATCAATATAACTATAAATTCATTAAACTCTAGATATTTATCTTGTTTGCCCAATGAATTCACGAGTTTCAACAAAATTGTCTGGTAACTCACAATCTCATATGTTTTGTCGTTCGGGGATTAAGCGGGTTGATTATCTTGTACAATGGTGAGAATATTTGCTTAGTTATGTGTGAACTCCACCTTTTCCTGGCTCGCAGTTTGCCGGTTGGTGACTGCTTATTTCTAATAGCAGACTATTACAACTATGTTTGGAAGAGCGGCAAATGGGAGGGCAAGTGCAAGCTTGCGGGTTAAACACAAATTTCAAGGGGTTTACTCTTGTAATAGGTGGGTACAAAACGTAAGTGAGTGCAAATTCATTATTTCGGATTACCTTCTGAATTGGGGTGCAAGGAAGGAAATGAAGGAAGGGGAGGGGATAGGAGGAAATTATGAATTTTTTAATTATATTATAATTAGATAATAATTAATATTATTAGTTTTTTCTTATAGCTATCATTAATGTAGACGTTGTTTGTGGTTGATCTTTTGACTTCGATAGCAAGTTTGTCAATGTTCGTCTAGTCAAATCGATATCTCTTGGCTGACTCGAATTTGCATTGAAAATTAGAGATAAGATAAGAAACATTTGTGGAAAAGATAGAGATGACCAGTTTAGTTGACTCACTTTAGTTGACTAAATAGTTAAAACTTACAGATTTGGACGTGTTTGACAACATTCAATTTAAAGTTAGGCACGAGAACCCCCCTTAGGATGACCATTTACGAGGTCGCTCGACCAATGATTATTAGTGTTGTTATAATTAATTATTATTTGAGTATTATTATATAATAATTATTATATTATAATATAATTATTATAATTCTGATATAATAATTTTTATATAATAAATTTTATTTATACTATTTTGTGATAATATTTTAAAATTTTGATAAATCTATTTTATAATAATACAGTTATTTTTCACTCTACTTGCACTCCCACCAAGTTGCAACCCCAACAAATTACCCCTCAACTTGTACCCACTCGAACTTGCACCCTTATTGCCAAACATAATGTTAGTCTCCATTGTATCGATAATCATTATAAACATGTGCAATCTGTAAGACACAGACCAAGCACTTCAAAGTAGTGTGTCTCTAGCTACTTTTCTTTCTTTTAAATAATCAAAATTACACCATATTTAACGATTTCTACGTTATTGAACCTATATAAGAGTAAGGTTTTTCACCAAAATTGATTGTTCTAGTTATACCTTTCCGAACTTACAAAAAAAAAAAAAAAACTCCATTTTGCTCTCACATTCGCAGTTATGTCATGCTACATGAATTTACAAGGTTTAGCAGCGTGTCCCTATATTGCCATATACCAATTACAACCATGGAACCGACCGACGACCATGCTTTTCCGAGTAGGGATGACAATCAAACCCATGGCCGTGGGTATCCGATCACCCCCGATCCAGTCAACGTGGGGAATTCTCGCATTGACTGGGTATGGGGTGGGTATGGGTAAAACCCGCAAACAGTTAGATGGGTATGAGGCGGGTATGGTTTTAGCATCCCCACCCCATACCCATATCCGCTCCATCAAGAACATTTCTTCACATATAAAAAGTATATTGATTAAATTGTAATCTATCATTAATTGTGAGAGTAACTCATAAAAATAAATAGTAGAAATACAATTGAGTAACCACCCAAATCAAAACATAATTCATTTCCTCCAAATCTTCCTTCATTCTTTGACTTTTTCCCTCATGTTAACAACATTATGTTAGTAAGTTATTACTTAGTAGATGTATCAAAGTCAGAGAATAATGATTTCGCTTGTATTGTTACTCTATCTTATGGATTAATGGATATTTTAGAATAAGCTGCTTAGAATCGTATTAAGAATGATTGTCTCTTTGTCGACTTTATGAAATAGTAGGTGCGTTTAGTATTATAATTGAAATTTTACATATCGAATTTTAGCTATTATAATGTTAGATGTACGGGGCGGGTATTACCGATGGTTACTCGAAACCCATGAGTATGGGGATGGTTTTGCGAATCCTTCCCCCGCATGGGTATGGGACGGATATGGGTTTGGATATTTGAAAGCGGATATGGAAATGGTTTAGACAAATCCACCCCAAACCCGCCCATCGCCATCCCTTTTCCCCGTGTTCTTGCCTTCCTGAAGCAGCCTTTTTAGTTGTTTTCATATTTAGTTAAAGCCCATTTAAATTTCAATAGATCAAATTAACCTACACTTAAGTGAAAAGCATGCTTTATCATTTATCATTAATGTATGACGATGGCCGCATAGGTACATGACTAATAAGATAAACGAACACACAATTTATGTCGTAGACAACTTTTTGTAACAATGACAAGAAAAAACATAGCACATAATTAATGAAACGTACCTAGACACACATTAGTATACCTAGTGTATACTATATATCCCGCCGGTCTCCCTTAGCTTATTGGTTGTTACTAGATAGTAAAATCAAAGAGTGGGTACAGGATTACGGAGGACGGGAACCAACTTCAAATGATTCTTCCTCCTGATAGTGATGCCGAATATTTCTTCCATATCCAGGTTCTCCGACTCGACTCCGTTCGGAAGTTTCCAGTCAAAATGGTACAACAAGTTGGCGAGGGGAAGTTCCACGGCCGCCAGCCCAAACGACATCCCCGGACACATCCTTCTCCCCGCCCCAAACGGCAAAAACTCAAAATCGCCGCCTCTAAAAGTAACGTTGGTGTCGGTAAACCTCTCCGGCAGAAACTTCTCGGCCTCTTCCCCCCAGTAACGAGGATCCCTCGCTATCGCCCACACGTTCACGACCACCGTGGTCTTCAGGGGAATGTCGTACTCGCCCACCTGGCACTCCTCTCGGCACTCCCTGGGAAGCACCAGCGGCGCCGGAGTGTGCAGTCGCAGCGTCTCCTTGATGACCATCTTGAGGTAGGTTAGCTCCTGAATCCTCGCTTCGTCGACCCTTCCCTTTTCGCCAAACACTCGTCGCACCTCGGCTTGTGCCTTCTGCAACACTTTCGGATTCTTAATCATCTCTGACATTGCCCACTCGGTTAAAGACGACGGAGTCTCACTTCCAGCCAAGAAAATGTCCTGCCAAAACCAAGTTTATTCGGTCATTCAATAAAGACCAGATTAATATTAATATACTAACATGTCACATGCAACAATTTATTACCAGAAGGAAAGCCTTGATGGCTTCGGTGGACAAGTTGAACCCTAGCGTGGTTTCATCTTCCTGTAGATTCAAAAGCACGTCCAGCAAATCCTCCTCGTCCTCGGATTTCCTACTCACCGCCCTCTTCTCCCGATGTTGTCTGATGATGCTCTCCGCCAGCCGGTCGGTGCCCTCGTGCATCTTGTCCAGCCACTCCTTGGTGCCGAAAAACCTCTGAACCAAACCGCTCGACGGAAACAGGTACGACAGCCCGAACCCGCCGCCGTACTTCACCAGCGCCTCCGCGATCTCGATGAACTCCTCCTGCTCCGCGGACACGTCGCCGAACGTGGCCTTCGAGATGATGCTGTACGTCAGGTTGAACAGCACCTTCGTCAGGTCGACGACCTGAATTTTTGGACAGGTGTGTCAGTCGATAAAAATCAAAATAATAAATTAAAATTTAAGTCTTGTAAAATACATAATTTCATAATTCATATAGATCCACCATAACTTTTTTTTATTATATTATAAAAAATTTGTGAAATGCATAATTCATCACTTATTTTGCAATTCAAATGTTTTTTATTCTAACGGATTAATTGATCACTAATTAATCCGAATATGAAGATCGTTCTCCATTCACTTCTGTAGTAAAATCAATCATTTCACGGCAACATGAATCTTTCCACCCAAATTAAACATCAGGTGCGAAGGTGTGTGGCTTGACACACCTTTCAATGTAGTCGAAATAGAGTTTCTATAATATAGGAGGGTAATTAGCTTCTAAACTTTAAACCGTAGATTTTGACTACACTTTGCAAGCTAGGTCTGCCCGCACTGACTGACCTGATCCCCAGCAAGGTGCGCTTGCTCCGCGATGGTCCGCATCAGGGAGTCCACCTCGGGCTCCCTGAAGCGGCGGAGGGCCTCCACCCGCTTGGCGGTGAGGAGCTCGAGGGTGGCGATGCGGCGGAGCTGGCGCCAGTACTCGCCGTAGGGGGAGTGGATGAGGTTGATGCCGCCGTACATGATTTTGGCCTGGTGAGGGTGGAAGGGCCGCTGCGCGAACTTGATGTCGTGGGTCCGCATCACTTCCTTGGCGGCCTCGGCCGACGAAACGACGATGTGGCTGATCTCGCCGAGCTCCAGCTGCATGACGTCGCCGTGGGCTCGTGCCAGCTGGCGGAGGCGGCGGTGGGGCGGCTCGGCGCTGGTGAGGAAGTGGTGGAGGTGGCCCAACACGGGGAGCTTCCACGGTGCCGGCGGGAGGTTGTTGTTGTTGTTGGCTTTTTGGGATGATGCGGCGGTTTTCTTGTTGGAGGTGAGGATGGAGAGGAGGAAGATGGCGGCGATGGTGAGGAGGAGTGGGGAGAAGAAGGTGAGTGGTGGTAGGGTTTGGAGGAACTCCATTTTTAGGAGATAATAATGAAGAGATTGGTTTCTTACGTTGTAATGGTGAGGAATGTTGGTGGTGAGATATGAGAGGATTAAATAGAGTGAGTGAACGCCGCCGGGGGATTGGGTCAAAATTATTGAGCTTGTTGGCTTAGTTGTCGAATTTTGAATAGAGTGCAAAAACATATACTTTCCTGATAAATTCGTGGTAGTTTAATCAATATATTTTAATATATAAAAGTTTAATATTGAAGTTATTATTAATTAGTGGTTTCCAAACTATTTTTAAGTGCAAGTGTGGAAGTTTCAAGCCATTCTTTTACCCCACTCTCTCATTATGTTCATCTATTATTCCGTCAGGTCTACATCTATTAGCCATTAGGTTTCCCATAATAGTTATATTGTCTATATAAGTTTTCATCTGTTGTTCATTGTTTCCCTTATTGTAGCAATTATCGATTAGGTTTCTGTCAATGATATTTTACACAAATCATCGCCTTGGCCCGCCAATTCGCAACCCATCTCGAAACACTATCAACAAAATCAATGAACAATAGATGTCACGACGGCTACCGAGTATATGCACAATACTCACCTTCGCCCACTAATTCACAGCCCTTCTCCAAGCATTATTGGTGGAATCCTAAGTTCTACCCATCCAATGTGTCTCAAGACCGCTACCGAAAATCCATAATTAACATCCTCCCCAATAACTCAAGTTACTTGGATGTACCGAGTTACTTGGATGTATGGTACGTACTTAACCACTTCCTTCACACTTCTCAAACAAAATGCAACTCATGGGTTTAAAGTTTGCATGGACCCATCATTTCATGTGTTTTAAGACAACATTTAATATTAAGGATCGTGAGGACTTGAACAGAAGTGAGCTTAAGAACAACCCAGCTTTACGAACAAGGGCCTGATCTAGTGGTAATACTAACAGTCTATAACCTGAAGGTCTCAGGTTCGAATCCTTTAAGTAGTATCTTAATTACAAAAAAGTAAAACCTATATCACTCTTATCTAAAAAGAACAAACAAACTTGTCAAGAACCACTTAGCTCTAATAACTCGAGTTGTTGATAGAGTTTCATATTAACATTTACAAGTCACAGGATGATGAGTGGATGATGGACTGGGTGCTTGATCCTTGATATTGTGTGGAAAAAATTTGATTGAATAGTTAAGGAGATTGACAATATTGCGTGGAAAGTAAGTTGTATGAATAAATACAAAAGAAGTTTATAATTCATTATGGTTGAGAACGCATTTTATTTTGACATGCACGGTCCTCTTTTATAAGCTGAAATCGACCATACAAACATGACGAGATTATTGCGAAAATCGTAGAGGTTAGGGTGTTAATAAAATTCATTAGCACGATGTTAATACTAGCTAGTTTCAGTCAATAAGAATATTTTATTGTAATGATTTTTATTTAACGGGTTAGACTATTATAACTCATGTGGATTTATAAAGCGAGGGACACACTTGTAATTATTAAAATTTGAGGCACTTATACATTAATCGGGTACCACTAGGCATAAATTACAACAAATCACACTACAAAACACACCACAAAATTCATAAAGCATACAAGAATCTCACCACACAACCAAATTTATAAACCACACCGCTAATACCAAAAATCATATAAGAAAGCTTACAAAGCATACCACAAGTTTGTTAAAGCATACCAGAAAACTCATAAAGTATATCACAAGTTTTCTAACGCATACCACAAAAATCTCATAAACGTGGACCTATTTGTAAATTTAAAATTTGTAAGGATCAAAATGTAAGATAAAATTTTTAGGTGCTAAAATGCGATTCTCCTTCAATTTTTTTACAACTTATATGCAAAAAATTTAATTCTAGGTATAAAATCTTAGTATATTAAGTTTCGAAATCAAACTATAATTTGTTTATGAAATCAAAATCAAAAGAACTATCAGTGGCTAGTTATTGTAATACCCCTGAAGATAATACGTGTTATATTTATTATGTTATATATATAAATATGTTGTTATTATAAAATTAATTGTTAACTAGATATGGTGCCGGGTTGAGTACGAGGCAGATACATTTTGTATGTGTATATTTTATTCCCAAAACAAAACTATTTAGTATCCGAGTCCAAGTGATACATATAGAAAAGTGGAACACGAAAGCCTGCCAAATTTGAATGGAATTCATTGACTGATGACACATGCATGGGCGCGCGAGGTAAATTTTTTAGACTTTTGATACTCTTCTTGATCCGACTTTCATGTGTTTTAACTTTTAAGCTATTTTTTTTAATAAGGGTATCAACGTTTCATTATTGGTAAAATTAGAAATGTTAATTATCAAGTTCAAATACAAGAGCCAATAGGACCATAATTAAGAATCCTCGTGGCTGGTCAAAATAAAGAAACGCATAATTAAGCAGTCTATGACATTAGTTCATAAAAAATTGTCCACTTTAATTGACATTAGATGGGTGGTTATAAGGAAGTTGCATGTGCAAATTACTCCACTATTAGTTCATAAAAAATTGTCCACTTTAATTGTCATTTTTTTTTCAATATTGTTTGATTGCATATATCATCTCTTTCTTGTCAAATCATTGTGCTAGTTAGGACTAGGCCTGTAAATAAGCCGAGTCGAGCATAATTGATGAGCTTGAGCTCGGCTCATTTCTTAACGATCCGAGTTGGGCCGAGTTTCGCCTAAACTTGAGCTTGGCTCGTGAAGAAACGAGCCGAGCTCGAGCTCAACTCCTCATTTAGCTCATCACAAGCTCGGATCAATAAGTTTATATGGTTGAACTTTTAAATTAAACTCTAAAATAATAGTCAATTTTCATCACTAATTGATCTCATGTTTATATGATGTGTTATGTACTATAGTTTATTTCATAATTTTTGACTATTTCATATCATATTATATAATAATAATAATTAGTAACTAAGTATTCTAGAATACATAATTTCTCTTTCAACTTATAAATGTGACATAAAGGGTCACATATTCAAAGTCTTAAACCATTACATATTATGAGTTATAATCTTACAAACATATTAATTATTTAAGAAACCACATTATACGTGACATATATTGATTCACTCATAAGTCGTTAGTCGAACTGTCTTGCTAACCACACCGTCAATCCTTCTCATTAGCTCGAAACGAGCTAGCTCACTAATTGAACTCAATGAGCCACTGAATCGAGTAGACATGGACTTGTGTAACCCATGCACGCTGGAGTGGTTCCGAATCAACGGTTTCAGGGAGTCTAGTCCCACTTTGCAGAAAAAAGATCAGTAGTTGAAGTGGTTAAAAAATTCCTGTGAACTAATCCTGATATTTAGGAATACCAAGTAATGTACACTTCTACTATGCTATATAGTATTGGTGCTTTAATGTACAACTTGAAGTTGTATCATAACAATTAAATATATAAGATTAGGTTGTACCATAAAGGAATTTGTATCATTATGTTATGGTACAACTTTACAACTTGAAGTTGTACCGTCACATAAGGTACAAGTTTAAGTTGTACCATAAAAGAATTTGTACAAAAAATATAGGTACAATCTGAAGTTGTACCGTAACGTTAAAGGTACAATTTCAAGTTGTACCATAAAAGCAAAAACCTATAGCACCAATGCTATATAACACTGTAAAATTCTAATTAGACACTTTGATTATCAGCATAGATTGAAGTTGCCATTTTCTTTCAGAAGACGTAAACAAACGTGGTTCCCCATTGCTTCATCTTTAGCCACATCTCATCTTCGCTTTGTCTTCTCCAAAACTGGGACTCGCTTTCTATCCTCTGTCAAAATGAAAGTAAGAAAAACAAGAGCTCTTGCACCTGCTAATGAACAAGCAAACAATGGCAGCTCAAAAAATCATTGCTTTCTTTATTAACTCCAGCTTCCGTCAAATGGAGGTGACAGAAACATCATCATCACTTCCTTCACTGTCGCTGCTGCTGCTATTGCTCCCACTTCCACTACCACTGCTTCCACTACCACTGCTGCTTCTCGAACTAGACGACCGATTATCATCATCACCACCGGTGGCATTATTCACCTGAGCTTTGAGCGCTTCTGCTGCATTGATGCGGCGCCCTTTGTGTTCTTCGTCGCCGCTGTCGTCCACATCAGCAATCTCATCATCAGAGTCGTTCTCATGCTGCTGCGGAGGAGCATGGTTGTCAGCAGGAACCACAACAATGTTGTGGTCTTCGGTTGTCATGGCATTATCATCACCACCGTAAGGGGAACTTGAACCAAATATGTCTTCTATATCTATATCACAGTGTTCTTTGGCTTCATCATTATTCTTGGGGCTAGATGGCTTGCCGACCTTTGGTGGTTCGATTTGGTGATCATTGATCTCCTTACCAGAGTATATTGAAGCTGTAGCAAAAAAGGAGCACCGAAAAGAAGCAGATGAGTGACGGAAGCTTCAATGAAAGATTTAGCTGAGGCAGAGAGAAATCTCAGAATATGGTGTTGATCACATGTTTCTGTAGTCTCCATTAGTCCACAGAGTTGCGAGAAACTTGAAGAAACAAAGCTAATTGTGTCAGCCTTACCATAGCTGAAGAAATGAAGGCCTGAAGAATGATAAAAATAAACAACTCCAACAAAGCATGAAATACCTGGAATCGGTGGCATCTCGACATCAATTCGTTCTACCTCGACCTTCACACATACAAGACAATAAATTCACAAAATGAGAAACCAAAGGGAAGTAGAGTGATGTTCCCAGACCAACTGTTCAGTTAATATCACCTTCGTTTGCCAATTGCAAGCACATGTACTGGAATGACAAATGTAAGCAAGTAGTAAACGCAAGGAGTACATATCACTCCAAACTGAAGCGGACAATGTTGAAGGACCATCTAAACTTCCTCAATCTTTCAGTCACGATTCAAGTTGTGCTGCATATTTCAGAAACAACCGCCTCGATGTTGGAACTCTTATATAACGGAACACCAGAACTTAACATTTCTTATATTCTTACCTGATTTTGACTCATTGTAACCCCATAACCAGTTTTGATAAAACCAACTCATATAGTTTTTCTTCTACAAACCTGTAGCCCAGTTCACTGATGCTCTGAAAGCTGCAATTCATATCGTTGAATAGCGTACGGTCAACAATCAAAGCAGAAACCAAAGCAAAACAAGAAATGCAAACAAGGAGAACCAAAAGCGGCAATTCTGATGTGACGAAGAGACAACAGTTTCAACAATCCTAATGAAAGCAGGCATGGTCATGGTCATCCACAGTTCAAGAGAATGAAGAGCAGCAGCTTCGTGGACTAGAAGTTATAGACATTATACAAACATGCCGTATTGAGCTATACAAAATTCAACGCACTAACAATTGGAAGAAAGGAAATACGACTCACAGGAAAGGAAGGCATTGCAGGTTTGCCAATTTGGGGAGGTTTGATACCCTTCCCAACTGGAGGAGACAATCGAGAGTCCCCAGACGACCCACCAGCAGCAGTAGCAGTACATTCGCCAGGCTGCCTCATGTGTTTGAGCTGCTTGACAGCCCTATGAAGCCTCTCCAGGCGAAATGTGTGGCCGTCAAAGAACAAGACTGCATCGTTTTCTTTGTAATCCTCGCTGCTGCCTTCGAAATGCACTTTGGATTTCACCGATTGGTTGCTCTGAAACTCCAGAGAGACCCTGTTCCCTTTGTTCTTGCGCAAAGCGCCAGGCTTCGACTTGTCAATGGAGGCCGGCTTGAATTCATCTATGAAAAGAGAGCCAAAGACCGTTATGAATCCATCGATAATGAACGAAACAACAGAAACTTGTTTGGAACTTGGAAGTTGCAGGAGAGTTGATTGGTGGAATTAGGGCAAAATCGTACATCGCAAAGCACAGTACTTGTTGGAAGCGTCTTCTTTGAATGAAGAACCGAGGGAGAGATCGTACCAGCGATCCGGCTGTGGTGCGGTCTTGGGCTCTTCCTTGAAGTTGTTGGCCATGGTTTCCGATCAAGAGCCGGTGACTGACTGAACCCACTTCTCAAATTAACGGTCCGATATTGGAGAGATCATGGCGTGCGAATTCTCGCCGACTCTTCTTCCGGTGCTTTGGGGAGAAGGAGGGTTAGATCAGATCATGGTAGCGGCTGCGGGAAAGATGAGAATTGGGCTGTACCAGTTTGGTAGAACATAAAAATGTAGGTACTATTTTGTCAGTGGCTCAAAGTTCAGCCGTCATTAGTGTAATTATCCCACAATATCACTTCACTTGTGTTATCTTCTAGCGGTCTGCTGCTGCAGCCTGCAGCTCATTCTCGGAGCTCCATTGCCTTCTCTATTTTGTTTATCCTTTCCCTTCTCATCACCGCGCCAAAATCTGCCGGCGTTCTCGTCGCCGGTTCCTCTAGTAGAAAACCAAAATGGTAGGCCAGGTTTTGCGTTTTGGCGGGAATGGGCTTGGCCAGATACTCACCGCGGCGGCTGTGGCTCTCCTACTCCGGCTGTTTTCCGGCCCGGGCCCTGCTCTGCCGCCCGGTTCTGAGTCCGATCACGATGACATTGAGAAAGATGAGGATGAAGCTGGTGCCGATGATGAAACCGGCCATTCTCCCTCCGCTGGGAAGAAGGTTGCTCCGGTTACAATCCGGTGGCGCAACATCAACTGTTCCCTCTCTGACAAGCGCTCTGAATCAGTGAGTTCGCTTCCTTTACCTTCGTTTTGCTTTGGAACTATGGCAAGGAGATTGTCATTTGAGCTCAAAATTCATCATACCAAATTGCGGAGTAGCTTATTTTTGGTCGAGAGGAATTTCGGCATGCACTTAGAAATGCGTCTCTTACCCTCGGTGCATCAATGATTTGATGAATTGGGCGAGAATTTTTGGGGGGCGTTGGTGCTTACAGTAGGGTGATTTTGCAGGTAAGATTCCTGCTTAAAAATGTAAGCGGAGAGGCGAAACCAGGAAGGTTGCTTGCAATAATGGGGCCATCAGGTTCAGGGAAAACGACTTTGCTCAATGTTTTAGCTGGGCAGCTGATGGCATCCCCGCGTATGAATTTATCCGGTCTTCTGGAGGTTAATGGGAAGCCATACTCGAACAGAGCTTACAAGTAAATATACCTTGTTAGTAAATGAGATTGTGGTTGAAAACCGTTTTTGCCTTGGAGGTCTTTCAATGAGATTTGGTCGTCTCGCAGGTCGGCTTATGTGAGACAGGAGGATCTTTTCTTTTCTCAGCTAACTGTAAGGGAGACACTTTCGCTGGCCGCAGAGCTTCAGCTTCCTCATATATCTTCTGTGGAAGAAAGAGATGAATATGTGAATGGTTTGTTGTTCAAACTGGGTCTGGTAAGGTCATTTCATCTCTATTCCCAAACTAAATTTGATGTTAGTCCGATTCAATTTACCTATTAGATGAATTACAGACTTAGGATCAGATTGCCTGAAATGGGTGGTTCGAGCTGAGGGGTTGAATGTTTCGATGTTGCATACTGCAAAAAAAAAAAATTCCATTTAGCTGCATGCTCAACTTAACTACAATACAAGTTATACAACAGTACGAGATGACTTTCTGGAGAATGTTGACCAAATCTTAAGATTGTATATTGTTGCTCTCACATGGTAAAATTCTTATGATGGTAGTATTGAACGTGTAAAGGTAAGCAGTTGAAGAATTCACGTGTGAAGCATGGAAGTGTGCCTCATATGTGTTTGGGTCCTGAGTTTATTGTAAATCATGGAACTTCTTTCAACTTGTCCGCTCGTATTTACTAAATGATAATTGGTGATCAAGCTGATTCTTGGTGAATTGGATTTAGAATCACTGCCTCAGTTGTATAATAAATGAACATCTAGATCTTAAATACTCATCTTTTCATCTAGTACCATACCACTAACTGCTTGTGGTTTTTCATTTCCAAATGCATAACGTGGGTTTTCTGGCCTGTGATTTTTCATCTTTATTCAAAGGTTAATTGCGCTGATTCTATCGTTGGAGATGCAAAAGTTCGTGGTATAAGTGGCGGCGAAAAGAAGCGGTTATCAGTTGCATGTGAACTTATAGCGAGTCCTTCCATAGTTTTTGCTGATGAACCGACTACAGGTAAATGCTCATTTTTTATTACATTACATTTGGGTCTTCAAGTGGCTGGCAGAACTAAATTATAGTCCAACAGTAAAAACTGCTCTAGTACCTCTCTTTTTTTGCCAAAAGATCGGGTTAGTTTGTTAATGATAAAGAAGGAAAAGGTTAGTACAGATGTGGCCACAGCCAAGAATAAAAATCAAAAGCAGAAAGTAAACACCTGATGGGCTTTTTCTGGCCACGAGAAACGGCTCTAGTACTTACTCTACTGTTCCTGGTCGTTTAGGAGTGGTTATATTACCCGATGTTACTTCTACCATATGGGTTAATTATTATACAATTGCGTCAGCCAGAACCACCAGCAGACTAATTTAAAGGGATTGTTGTGAATTGAACTGAAGCATCCATTGTAAGTGTTAGTAAGTTGAACCCTGCAGCGTGATTGGATTATCACGATGATTGTTTCTCATAGGAGATGGGAGAGAAAAGGAAAGAAAGGAAATAGTATATTTTTTCACCATGATTATGAACGTAGTTTCCTCGAGGGGAGATAAGTGACTGAAAAAGATGGGAAGTAATCTGTCCCTTTGTGTCCACTCCAACTTAGAGTAGACAATCAAGGAGGAAGATGGATATTGAAGCCCATTCTGTTCTTACATTGTCCTATACATTATACAATTTTGCACATCCAATTAGACCTTTTCTTTTTCCTTCATGAAGCTACTTCCCTACTTCTGTAACGAGGAATGTGCTAGTCTTTCAACTCATCTCAGTTACATTGGTGAAGATACTCATAATGTATGATCATGATGTTAATCACTTGTGTGTTATCAGGTCTTGATGCATTCCAGGCAGAGAAAGTAATGGAAACTCTGCGACAGCTGGCTCAGGATGGACATACAGTTATTTGCTCGATTCACCAACCAAGGGGTTCGGTTTACGATAAATTTGACGACATTGTGTTGCTGACAGAGGGTGCTTTAGTTTATGCCGGCCCTGCTGGTGATCAGCCATTGACCTACTTCTCAAAATTTGGGTGGGTTACAGTATTCCATAAAGCCCCTCCTTATTGTGTATATTATATGTTATGCAAGTATTAAACTCCGGTGATCATGAGTAACTGAACTGTAGCTAGTCTGGAAACATTGTCCTTTTCCCTATTGGTACATTGAGCAGGTGAATGGCCCTGATGATGTTAATCAGTGGCGAAGCTAGGTTGATAGACCCCCTTAACTTTCAAATATATGGAAAATTACTTTGTGACAAATTTAGGACATAAAGTAGTCGGTAAGGCTTTAGCACCCCCTCTCCAGTTACCACGGTTCGAATCAGTCTCCCCTCTTTCAAGTTTCTGCCTCTGCAACTAATGTTAATGCCTTTCATGTGTGAAGTTCTATTCTAAGTATTGTCTAGTTAAATAGGCCCTAAAATAAAAGGAAGAATGCACATGATTGGCATCTATTAACTGTTTGATAAAGTGTTTCATAAGTGCATGAAAATCTCAGACTGATTGTTGGTTCTTTTGACAGGTATAAATGTCCAGAGCACGCCAATCCCGCTGAATTTTTGGCTGATCTCGTCTCGGTTGACTACAGCTCTGCTGAAAGTGTATACTCATCTCGGAAAAGGATCGACGGCCTTGTTGAGTCATTTGCAGAACAAGCAACCTTGATACTGTACACAACTCCACTTAAGAGGAGTGGGAGAGGCAGTGAGAGGAAATTTGGAAAAAGAGTTGCTTCAAATGGAAAAGGGAATTGGTGGAAACAATTTAAGTTACTTCTTAAACGTGCATGGATGCAGGTTTGCTTTTCATATGTCCTTTCATCAGATTATTGTTTACTTTTTGACTTAGTTGTAGATAACTGATTTCTTACCGAGGCTGCAATACAAATCATAAGGTTCATGGTTACATTTATCGTTATGGAAGGATGTAGGTTTGAGTTTGAACTGAAACAGAGAAGCAATGAAGGAAATATTGTTTCTGCTAAAACAAGTATGGCTACTCTTGCCCTTACCCAAGTTTCACTTCGTTTTCTGGAGCCCAGGCCTCACGTGATGGGCCTACAAACAAAGTACGTGCAAGAATGTCCATGGCATCAGCTCTTATATTTGGCTCAGTGTTCTGGAGAATAGGTAGATCCCAGACATCAATACAAGATAGGATGGGATTGCTTCAGGTATTGCTTTATGCTATTGGTTCCTTTGATGCCCTTTCCCAGTTGTTATGATCTTTTCTGATTCTGTTCACGTCCATGAAGTGCTTGTGTTTAATTTATTGCAAGGGCAATGCATATAATTACTCTTGGTTAGCTGCTCTTAAGGGTCTATATCAGATGACTTTTTTGTTAAGCACAACATAACTAATATTTCATGATTCTTGATACTGGGAAAATATTTCAACTAGATGTAATATTCTTAATGTCTTGAAGGAACTACACACCACTGCCCTTATCTTATGCGAACACTTGTTCGCTGTCAGGTTGCAGCAATAAACACTGCCATGGCTGCTCTCACCAAAACCGTTGGTGTGTTTCCCAAGGAAAGAGCTATAGTTGACAGAGAGCGAGCCAAGGGGTCTTACGCTTTGGGACCCTATCTGCTTTCCAAAATGATAGCTGAGATTCCTGTGGGGGCAGCGTTTCCTCTCATGTTTGGTGCTGTACTTTATCCTATGTCTGGCCTCCATCCTACTTTATCAAGGTAGGTGTTCCCTTTTTCTCCGTTTCGTCTTAATTCCTTGTATGATTCCGGGAATCCATACTGCAAACAGATCACTGAATTGTAAATTTTGAAGTGTAGGTTTGGGCAGTTCTGTGGAATTGTGACGGCAGAGTCATTTGCCGCTTCTGCAATGGGTCTAACAGTGGGGGCTATGGTTCCAAGCACTGAAGCCGCAATGGCTGTGGGACCCTCTCTCATGACAGTTTTCATTGTTTTTGGTGGCTATTATGTGAATGCTGACAATACGCCGATTATATTCAGATGGATTCCCCGTGTATCATTGATAAGATGGTAACTCCTTTGCATCCCCCTCTAGCTAGTAGTACTGTTTTCTGTATTCAGCTAGACAGCAAAGTCGAAATCAGTTTTCGAACTTCTTAATATAGCTAATACCTTGGCACCAACTAACTAGATGATTGTCTATTCAGGGCCTTTCAAGGACTTTGCATCAATGAATTCAAGGGTCTTCACTTTGACCATCAAAACTCTTTCGATATTGAAACTGGAGAGCAGGTGCGTGTCTTGGCTTCCTTATCATTTAATTTATATGGATCATAGTTCACTGTTCTGTTTCTTATAACAAAGTAGAACATTAGGACAGCTTAGTTAAAACTCTGAGCATTGAATTAAATGCAGAAGTAATACTTTCAATAAACTGATATACTTGCGGCACAAACTTTCATTTACCAAATTCATGGGATTAATCACTGATGTTGGCAGTTGGCATGCTAATTTGGATGCCAAACTAGAATGAGGAGAGACATTAGGTGACTATTTTAATAGTTAGTATAAACTTTGGTGACAAGTTCGTTAAATGTTAGTCCGATTTGGCAGTGGCCCTAAAGTACAGTTCCAGTTTACGTTATTGAACAAATTCATCAAGAATGAAGTCTATTTCCTGTGTGGTGAATATCAAGACCAAAGTTGAGATTAAATCTCCGAACAGTTGTTATCTGTTATTCCTAGAACTCTAATGATGGCTTAAAATGAGGTGCTCCAAGTTCCTTTGCATTGCAATGCTTAAACCCATTTTTTGGCTAAAAATGGTGTGCAGGCACTAGAGCGTCTATCCTTCGGCGGAAGCAGCATCAACGATACAGTGATGGCTCAGAGTAGAATTCTGGCATTCTGGTATTGCACCACCTACTTTCTCTTACAGAAAAATAAGCCCAAATACCAGCGGCTGGAGGCAGCACCACCTTCATCAGAACAAACCGAAAAGCTGGAGCCTATGGAGCCTGAACAAACTACGCAGCTACTTCAGCAACAAGATCAACTTACGGCAACACAAGAAGAGGAAGAAGCAGCAGCAGCAGAAGAAGAAGAATCAAATTCACAGTTCAAAGAGATACCACCACCTGACGACCAAATCCGACCATTTATCTTTGAAGGTTTGTAAACTAGTTTTGGGTAACTGCTGATAGAAAATCATTATACGAACCATATACCAGACATGCTGTTTATGGAGTTATACGTCCCACAGGTGCTAACTGAATGGAGTGTCTGTTTGCAATAAATGGGTTAGAAGGCAAGCTGTGTTAAGCTCTCAGGTGGCCCTCCTTTACAAGTTAGAAGACTTGTCTTAAACGAATGTTGATTCTCTGTGAAGTTTAGAGTAGAAAGTGACGCAGCTTTGCTGCAAATGACATTTGCTGTGGACTATAGCTATTTGTGGGCAGAGTTATGTTGCGGTAAGAAATGGACATTAGGCAGGGAACTGGAACTAGGCAGTTTCTTGGAAACTTGATGATGGAGAATTTGCACTTCTGAGTGGACACTATTGGATGGTTTTTTAGGCTGAATTCATTGGATTGCTTCATCAACATGCTATTCATCCAATTTATGCGAATCTTGTCGTCGGTGTACCAAAAGTTTTGTGTATCTGAACAGCTGGCTTTTATTACATTAAAATTTTTAAAAATAGGGTAAATTGCAAGGTTGATACTGGGATTATTAAAAATGTTTATGTTTGGTCACTAGATATATTTAATTAATTAATTTCATTCGTGGTCACTTAGTTTACTAAAACATTCATGTTTAGTTACTTATCGTTAAGTCTCTGTTAGCCTCCATTAACAACATCAGTTTTTTTCTGATGTGTCTAACAAATTTTTCTGATGTGTCTAACAAAATCGCTCAATCAACCTATTTTAACCTGAAAAATTTATACTCGGTCACCATGTCATCAAAACCCACCACATCATCAAAATCCAAATTCAATGCATTACCCGTATTCCGATTCCGATCGCCTCTGCGCTCTCTCTCTCTCTCTCCTCTTTGCATGTCCCTCTCTGCATTATGTGTGTGTGTCTCTCTCTCCTCTATTTTCGACCAGTCTTCGATCGAGGCGGTCGGAATTGGAATAGGGGTCAGTTGTAATGCGTATAGGTAAATTGGATTGGGTAATGGGTTGGATTGGGATTTTGATGATGTGGTGGGTCTGACTTCTGACGACGTGGCGGGTCGGGTATAAATTTTTCTGGGTTAAAAAAATTAATTGGGCAATTCTGTTAGCCACATCAGCAAAAACTAGCGTCATTAACGGAGAGTGACTAAATATAACAAGTTTTAGTAAAATTAGTAACCACGAATAAAATTAAATAACTTTGATGATTAAACATTGAACTTTTTAGTAATCGACCAAACTTGTAATTTACCCTAAAAAAATATCATCAGAATTAAATTCTTTGATTTTTCCAAACCGCGGGAACCACGCCGCCCAACTTTACTTTCTTTCTTCCACTCCATCGCAAATCCAAAATCCAGGGAAGCTTTTAAAACCAAAATCAAACGAAACCCTGCGGCTGCGTTGCTCCACATCTCATTCAAATCAATAGACCTTCTTCCCTTCCCTCGCCTCCACCACAGCCGCCGCCACCATCACCGGCGAGGACGACCTCCCGATTTCACCCATGGCCGTTCCTTGCACTCCGTTCATCGCCTCCGAGAACCTATCCACACCTTCTTCCGCACCCTCCCTATCCCCTTCCCCTGTAATCCTCTCCCAAGACGAGCTCAAGAAAATCGCCGCCTACAAGGCCGTCGAATTCGTCCAATCCGGCATGGTCGTCGGCCTGGGGACCGGCTCCACGGCCAAGCACGCCGTCGACCGAATCGCCGATTTGCTCAATCAGGGCAAGCTGAAGGACATCGTAGGCATCCCGACCTCCAAACAGACCCACCAGCAGGCATCGTCGCTCGGAATCCCGCTCTCGGATCTCGACACCCACCCCACCGTCGACCTCGCAATCGACGGCGCCGACGAGGTCGACCCAGATCTCAATCTGGTGAAGGGAAGAGGCGGGTCCCTGCTCAGGGAGAAGATGATCGAGGGCGCCGCGAGGAAGTTTGTGGTTATTGTTGACGAATCGAAGTGGGTCCCTTACGTCGGAGCTAGCGGGGCGATGCCCGTGGAGGTTGTTCCGTTTTGCTCGAAGTACACGCAGGACTGCCTGCAGAAGATTTTTGAGTACGCTGGCTGTGTGGCGGAATTGAGGACCTTGAGCGGAGGACAGCCGTTTCTCACTGATAACGGCAATCACATTGTGAACTTGTTCTTCAAGAGCGATGTTGGGGATTTGAGGGCTGCGAGTGATGCGATTCATAGGCTTCCGGGAGTTATTGAGCATGGTATGTTTATTGGTATGGCGACTGCTGTTATTGTTGCAGGTGAGAGTGGAGTCACCGTTAAGAACAAACCGTGATGATATGCTTGATGCTGGAGGAAAAAGATTTGATTTTGTATTTCTGTACTATTTAGAGTAGTACTCACAGACAAAGAACTGAACTAGAAGAATAGCAGCAGATTATCACAAGACTTTGTGGGATAATTGAACGAATGCTGCTTCCTCTTGATTCTAGATGGGTAGAGTAGTTAGCTTCAAGGTTAATCTCTAAGGTACTGTTATGTAACAGACATTTAGTGAAATGAAAAATGCGATGCGTGTCTACCATCCTATTTTCAGCGTCGAATATGTTTCGGTGTTGATTTTGGTCTTGGTTGAATGATAAATGAGCCGTCTTTATTCACTGGGGCATTCTGAAGTTGTTGGAGTTTTGGTTCAGTAATGGGCTATTGTAGTTCATGGTGAATGATCTTAAGTGCAAGTCAGTCCATGTTCTGTGTCCTGTGATATGTCGATTGCTTGAAGTTCTGTTAGTTTATCTCTTCTGCTTGTGTTTTCTATAATGTGGTACATGTAAAAGATCAGCTTCAGATGTAAACACTGCCTCTGCACAATGGTCTAGCTGGAGATACTCCTTGGGATTTCAAGAATGCACAAATGTCTGATCATTTGCTTCAAAGCACTGTGTAAGTTGCTATCATCATGCAGCAGGTGATCTTTGAGAATCAAAACTTTGAAGGTTGCAGGAAAAGAGCAATTCTTAACTGCAGTTGGCAACAAATGGACTATTACTTTCGATGTTGATCTCAAACGTCGTAAGTAGAATGTGGATAGTTTCTGATTCCAATAGTTACAGTCAGTATCATGCAATTGTAAGTAAACGAGTGCATGTGTGTGTGTGTGTGTATGAATATGATACAGATGATGTACTAGTGAAAGAGCAGTGAGTTAAAGTAGAGAACAAGTAGCGGTTTTTGTCTATCGTGCCTTCTTTTCCTTGACAGGGCCTCTTGGTATCTTGTTGAGTACCCTGGAGTCGAACTTCCTATACGCCCTCCTCACATCTCTCATCAATGTTCCCGCAATGTAGTCCACCTCGGCCTCGTACTGCTCGTACAGGAAGGGCACCGTTTGGATTCCGACGTACCCTTCATCCATTTTGCAGGGAGAAACCAATTAGCTGACATATATAAAAGATAAAGCTGCAGGAGGGGTGAATTTCAGGTGGGTTGTATGGGTCTTACCCAGATAAAGGAAATTCAGGAAGCTGAAACATGTGCCAACCACTGATACTATGTACAGAAACACAATCGCCTGCACAGAAAATTAGATCAGCAGCAGGCAGCTAATGTTTAAGCAAACAAGCCAAGTGCTTGATTAGTTGCTTGATGATTTCTTATATAGCTATAAAAAAGGTACCAGAAAGAAGAGTCTTGGATCTCTTCCGCAGGCGATATCAAGGAGAATGGCCAGCGCCTGATTGAATCTTCTGTGGAAGACTGCAGCAGCTTCTCTAAAGGTATGTTCAAGCAACACGATTTCTGGGATCTGTGGAGGCTTCCTGATGTAGCAGTATGTACAATTGAAAATGTGTTTGTGGTGAACAATGCAATGTAAGCTGTGATGTTATGGGCATATATACCAGTTGAAGAAATCAGCGGCAGTGCACCAACTGAAGAAAACGAGCAAAGCGGCGATGGAAATGTGACACGAAAGGTCAAACAGGTCGGGTAAAACGGGCCAGGTCGAAATTGCCATCCCTAGGCACGGGGAGATTTTGCAGGACAAGTGGCAGACTCAAGGCAGAGAAATGAGATCCAAAAAAATTAACAGCGAGCTACACTTGATTTGCTTAACTTTGAACAGATCAAGGGATCTAATTATAAGCTTATCACTTTTTTGCCTTTGTTTAAATAAAGATGCATGATGCATCCACCTTTGGCTTTTATGTTGATTAGACGACTTAGAATGATAGTTCATGCATGTTATTATGACCTCCCCATACACCAGCTGACTAGTGTTCAAGCACTCTAATCAGATTTGTACACCCACTTTATAGGCAGTCCAATTTAGGGTTAGAGGAATCATGTTAAACTCTCTTTCGAATTCATAGTTGATATTATCATATGACTATTGATGGATCACGCTTAATATTAATGCGCGAGAGAGGATAGCATATCGACAAATTTCATTAAAAGCAAAAAGGTTTAAACAATCAAAATAAAAAATTAATCAAAACACTCCACGCTCTGTTCTTTTCCCTGCTCCGGATCTGGTTTCTTCGTCGATCGTGATTACTGAACTCTATTGGCTGCACACCTGTTTACACCAAAATTTAACCTTGTACCACGTTGATGTGTGAGTCCATACCAAAGCTGAAGTTGAAAAACCCACTACTTGTTAATGGTCTGAGGAAAAGCTAATTATGGCTGAAGTTGAAAACCCACAATGGGCGGGCACCAAATTTGACTAAACAAACATCAAGGGAATGAATGATGAGGCGTGCTTGAGTAAAAACCATATGAAACTATGATTACTGAAGTTATATGCTTCATGATTTCGAAGTCCCACATAATGATTTAGAGCACTCAACTCATCATGCCCTTTCGGTTTCACTTTTCAATTCATATGTATCAAGTGAAATCAGTCTATGTAGAGCACTACAACGAACATGAGCTTCTCGAGTAGCCCTAAAAACAAACTAGAAATCACTTACTTGGCTATGATAAATGAGCACTTCTACTATGTTATTAAAGATTGGTGCTTTAATGTACAATTTAAAATTGTACCATAACGTTAAAGGTATAAGTTCAGGTTGTACCATAAAGAAATTTGTACTCTTATGTTGTGGCTACACTAATGATAGGCATATTAACACGTGCCTTAATAAGCAAATCAAACCTAGAAGAAAATCCAATCAAATTGCTATATAAAATACCTATTTCAGCCTAAACTATTTACTATGTAGACTAATTTGGCTCAAATTGGTTTGCATTGGGAATCTTCCCAAATTGATTCTACTAAAAGTGCTATCTAGACAATTATATGTAAGGATACTTTCACTTATTCTCCCGATGTAGTATTTGAATTGTATCCTAACACTATTTACTATTGCGGTATTATTAGCTAGTGTATTTTCTTAAAAAATAATAATTCTATGGCCATAAGTTGAATGCGACATGAGTGATTCCGAAGATCTTTGACTCACGTGATAGTCGAAGGTGATTCCAAAGTGGTCGTCAAGTAGATCCGGCAAGGCTTCATAGAAGAATCGATTGGTGGTGCGGTGCTACGAGAGTGTCGTCAGATTCTTAGCTCTTTGTCCATTTGTATAGAGTTTAGGGCGGTACCTAGAACTGCCAACAGTGCTGCCCATAGAGTGGCGCGTAACGCATGGCTTTTGTCTCGTCTAGAGCTAGAATCTTTCGATTTTTTGGGGTGGCTTCATTAGAATATATTGTAAGGGGTCCTGGAAAGATTTGTATGAATAACTCTTGTCCTCTATTGATATCACTCAGAAATTAAAAAAAATTTGAATGCGACATTCTGGAAACTTTGTTAATGCTAATTAATTGCTATAATCATATATTGTCATGAAAATTATTCCGTTATAATGTTATATGCATATTTTTACTATGGGTAAATGCCACATTTGGTCACTAAGATTACTAAATTGTGTCATGTTTAGTCACTAGAAATATTTAATATCAATTTTTGTCACTCGAATTATTGAAACAAGTCACAGTTAGTCACTCTCACGTTAATGGAGTTAGACGGAAACTAACGGGAGAGTGACTAAATGTGACTTGTTTTTCAGTAATTCGAGTGACCAAATGTAATACGTTTGAGTAATTCTAGTGACCGGAGTTGGACGGAAGCTAACGGGAGAGTGACTAAATGTGACATGTTTCAGTAATTCAAGTGACTTAAATTGATATTAAATTTTTCTAGTTACTTAACATGACACGATTTAGTAATATCAGTGACCGGATGTGGCATTTACCCCTTTTGCTATTCATAAAATTATATTTATGTGAATGTTATACAGTAGTTCAGAACTATGTTTCAGAAACCGTACGGCATTGCTCATTGAGATCGATAATATCGGATACCAAACAATTGATAGACAATTTTAACGGTACAAAATAATTGAATCACGGTTAAACCACCATTTACCCAATCACCCATTGACGAATTAATAAAAAAAAAATCCCACACAATCACTTTTCTTCCCTCTATATATAGTGAAGTAGAACCACAGCCCTCTCCTCAGTCTCTCACTCGATCAAACTCCTCTCTACAAGAAGCAATACATCTTTTGTTTGGAGAAACGGGAGAAAAATATGAGGGCCTCATCATCCAATTCGTACAGGTTCTCCTCTGGCCCGATCATGTGGTGGAGCTTGGTGGCGGCGGCGGCGGTGGTGCTAGCTGCGGCGCGTGGGGCGACGGCGGCGGCGGTGACGTGCAGCCCCGTGCAGCTGAGCTCGTGCGTGTCGGCGATCCGATCGGCGACGCCGCCGTCGAAGCTGTGCTGCGCCAAGATCAAGGAGCAGAGGCCCTGCCTCTGCCAGTACATGAAGAACCCAGCGCTGAAGCCCTATGTCAACACCCCTAACGCCAGGAAGGTCGCCTCCACTTGTGGCACCCCTTTCCCCAAGTGCTGAGCAGCGTTTCTGAAATCGTATCGTACTAGCAGTTCGATCATGAAATTCGTCTGTCGGAGTCTAAATCGATAGACAATTTTTAGCGGGAGAAAATGGGTTACTTTAGCATAAAATATGCATACCGCTGACGACTCTTCCGATACGATTGTACGATTAGTGGTTATGGATTACCAAAGTATTACTCTGTTTTGTGGGTGGATTGTCATGATATGATGATTAATTCATACTCTCTATGATATTATGTTGTTTTAAGTGGGTGTTGGTGTATGTGTCTAGCAGTAGTAGTGAGTGGGAAATGGTCAAAATAAAAATGTCATTGTCATGTCTTCTAGTCTCTCCTTATTTCATGTGTGTAGTTCTCTTGTATTGTATCTGTTCAATCAAAATTGGTCTAATGAATTTGGGCATTCAGCAATTTAATTCATTAAGTCTTTAGATTTTTTTAAATCAAATTAGCTTATTTTAAAGTGTTCAAGTATGTGGTTTCAGTATGGTTTGAGATCAATCCATATAAAAAAATCACATAACGAATTAACCGTCGGTAGAAATAGTCGACAATTAATATCACCTACAGTAAATTAGAAAGTTCATACTAGTAAATTTATAACATAAACTATAAGACACTATCTTTCAACTATTTAAACTTAATTGTCTCTCATTCATTTGCATGTACAAAATCTGAAATCTAAAACAAGTCACTGTCTAACATTCTCTCAAAGGTTAAGGAGGTTGGAAATCTGGTTCCACTCCATAGCCCACCACGGCCTTTTACCAGACGGCGGTGCAAAGTTGAGCTCGAACATCTCCTTGGACAAATTGCCTCCTTGGTACAACCCAACCAGCCTCGCCACGATCTCTGCACTTTCCTGTACGTGCCTCGAATCGTGAGGATCTCTCCACAGCTTGCTGATGAACTGCAACCTCCTGTGCTTCCCATCCAATGGCACGTCCCATTTCATTAACCACGCCTCCCTCTCCTCCACGCCCAACCGCGTCAGCCTCTTCGCCAGGAACTCCCTCTCGCGCTTCAACGCTCTCCTACTACATTACACCCGAAACCCGAAACTGTATCAGAGAAACGAACCTTGATGAAGAGAAGATGAAGGGAAGAGAGAAGAAAGAAAGAAAGAACCTTGATGAAAGGGAAACCGTTGGCTCGTCTGCTGCACCAACGACACGAGCAGGGCTTGCATCGCCGAGCTCAGCCAAATGCTGCTGCAACCATGTCAGCCGCCTGAGTTCCACCTCCATGTATATCTCGTCGGCTGGATCCCCTTTGAACAGCAAGTAGAATTGTGTTCTGTGGATGATTGGCACGTAGCAGATATCCCACAGTTCTATGATCTGTTGCCTCTGCTCCCTGAACGTCACATGCCATGGAACTTGTGGTTCGACCGGATCGATCATCATCGTTTCCTCCTCCTCCTCCTCCTCGATGTTGTACCCAGCTGCCTCATTCGCTTCCAGTTCTAGCACCTGTAAGGATCCACAACGAGAATCAGAGGCTGTGCTAAACACAATTTACTGAACAGTGTAGAATCGGAATAATGTTAACATGGCAAGTATGTATCTGTATCACCTGACAAACTAGCAGCTGCTTTTGATACTGGAGTTTTGCAACTCGTTCCTTCAGTTCTGTCACGTACGCTCTGATGCTCCTCACGTTTTCCTCAGCTGCATTCTGGAACATCTTCTGCATCTTTTTCATGTTGACGGAACTTGAACGTCGATACCCGGCGGAGACACCTTCCTTGGATGACACGCCTCCACATTCTTCACTCTTCACTGGAGTAGTCTGCTGCTTTGCATACTCTTGCTGCGAGTTCACATTGGACACAAGGACGTCACCATTCTCCGGTGCTCGGTTCTCTCTGTCGTTCTCTGATACTTGCCTTGACGATGACAAAGGCGAACAGGGAGATCGGATGAAGTTCTGCCTTATACCACTGTTGCTTGGGGATAAAGGGAGTGTCTTCTTCTTCTTGTGCTGACTCTTAGAATTGGAAGCTGGTGACTCAAAGTTCAATTCTGGGGTATTATTGCTTGGTAGAGACATGATCAGCTTGTCGATCGACTTCTGGACATTCTCCAGTTGCTCTTCGAGATTTGCAATGGTGCTTCCTTGTGAATGAAGTCTTGTTATTTCCTCTTTCAGATTGGCGCTGACACTCTTGTTGGTAGGTATCATCACGCTTCCAATTTGAACTTCCTTCGGAAGCTGTGGAAGGGAACGCATTTCCCTTATCTCAGCTTGCAGTTTGGCAATTGTCTCAGCTGCATCTTGGTTGCCTAGTCTATGACAAGCAACTTCCTTCTGCAGTACTTCAAGAGCACGGTTTGCTTCTTCCCCAAGTTGCTCCTGAAGGTGTTCGAGTTTTCGAATTTCATGCATCAGGGTGAATGGTGCAGCTGATGATGATCGCATGGACTGCCTTAGGGTCGTTTTTCTAATCTTCTCACTGCGCTTTAAGTCCTTGCCCTCCGGTTTAAGTAGCAATGATTCTGAGTAAGATAGACACTTCTTCACAGATGGGCAGGGTGATTCTTCTACTTTACCGCTCACCTGTACGCCAGAAATTTCAGGACAAATGTGAAAAAACCATCTGGTGAGAGATCCGACCGAATAAAATGTCACAAAAAAGCAACAGAAGCAGACCTGTTGTTGCTCCTCTTCCATTTTTCTTCGTAACTCATCCACCTCATATTTCGCAAGGTCTCTTTGGCGCCTCAATTCCTCAACTTCCATCTCCAGCTACACATGACATTTGAGAGTAAAGAAGAGAACTATTACAACTGAAACATGGCTACCAGTTTTTTTTTTTCTTTTTGTTCAGCAAAACTAGTATCTAAAGTATTACCTGCTGGATTTTCAAGTCTTTGTCACTTGAAGGGTCAGTAGAGCGCTGCTGTTCTGCTTCCAGCCTCGCCACTTCCTTCTGTAAATGCTTAACAAGCTGCTTGTCCGACACAACCTAATAATATAATTTGGTTGAAGAAAATTAGCACATGTTTTCACGGCAAGCCAGAATGAAAAACAGATGGACACTATACCATAAAAAACAACGAAGACAGATAAGTACCATGTTGACTTGTGCATTATTTGTAACTTCCTTGGCTCGTATTGCAAAATAAAGAGTATTTCGGGATTGTTCAACATGTGTCAGTGCAGGGCTTAAAGTACATATGATGGCAGTACGAGCATTTCCGCCAAGTGAGTGCTGCAGTATGCGTGTAAGCTTCGAGTCTCTGTAGGGTATGTGGCCACTTCTCTTCCCAACACTGTAGAACAAGAAGAAAAGTTGAGTCCCAAGGGAAGACTTCAAACAAGAATATGAAGGTTAGTCATGAGCGTAACAAATGCAGGGGATATTCAAATAGTCCTACAATGCAATGCTTCACACAGAAAAGAAAGACATGCCCTGACCTTAGTTTTCTGATTACTGTAGTTAGGGTCATCAAGCTAAGATTGATATGGCAACCTTCTCGCAGCCTAGTACCATCAGCATGGGTCTGTGAAGCCCTTTCACTCCCAGCAAGATCCACAAAATTCTGTGCGAGCCATGGAATTGATAATATCCATTAGATTACAGCAATTTAATTGCGGGAACATAGCGGTAGGGGTAAGAGTTTCAAGAGTTCTACCAAGCTTGCAACAAATGACCTCGCACAATCGGAATTCTCATGTAGAGTACTCTGTATCGTCTGTGTGCACAAGGATAAATAAACCTTCACGTATTAGCTTTTATAAAAACATATCACCATGATCATGTATCACTAGACATTGGAGCTCAGAAACACTAACCAGCCTTATAATTTGATGAGATCGGGAACTAGTATCATTGAGTGCAGTTTCACCAACTTGCCTTTGGGCTGTAATCCGGAAAATAATTGATTAATCAACTGCTTATTAAAATCAATTCAAGAATGAAAGAGAAGGCAATTTTTGGCCAGATTACCTTCACATACACTGATCAACTGCCTCAAATGTGTATCATCGCTTGCTGTTTCCTCCACCAGCTTCTCAACTACGGTTCCTTTCTGCCATCATCAAAGAAACCGACCAAACATTATTAGGTTTCCCTCCATACATAACAGAAACAGACGAGACTTCTTGCAAATTGCAGCATACCTCTGGATCATCTAGAAGCTTAAGACTACGTCCAGATTCCGAATTCAACAAATCTCTCACATTTTCATTGTATCTCCAGCCCTGACATCCTTATCGTGAAGTCCCTCTCTGGCGTCTGCAGTCGAGAACAACGATTATTGTAATGTAACCTTGAAACGTGCTAGTTAAGCCTACTAGTGAAACAGTAAAAATCTTAGTCCACACACGTTTTTTATATGGTTGTAAATGTCTTGAACAGCTTTTTCAGTTATGCCTCTCATTGTGTAAGTCTTCCCGCTGCTTGTTTGCCCGTAAGCGAAGATAGTTGCTGCAATCGATTCGCAATCGACACTATTAGCCAACTCAGAAGCCTCCAGAGAGACAAATCACATCAAGAGGAACAGCAATGAGCAAACCCAGAGAGTAAATCACCGTTAATTCCCATCAAAGCAGAGAGGGCAATGTTCTTTACGCCATCCTCGTACACAGACTCCGTTACACAAGTAGGACCAAACACTTTATCTACAAGGAATGACCCGGTTACATAAATGGCTATCTATATCAGTTTTCAGGAATGAAATGGAACTACTTTCAGGCATTGGTGGTGGCGAGTGAGAGAGTCGAATTTTACCGAAGCTGAAAGAAGCCGGTTGAGCTGAGCGCTCCTGGGGAGAGGGCTTGTAAGCAATGGTCTGTTCATCCACACATTCCCATGCTACTTGGTCCTTTGCTAGTTGCTCCTTTCTGTTCAAAGGCCGTAAACGTACTGTAACTACAATCTTCTCCTCTTTTGCTTTACTCCCTCCTCCCCCTGGAGTTGATGCAGGGGTTCTGTTCTCAATCTTTGAAACTGGCGTTCCAGGGGCCTTCCCATACATTCTCACTTTCCCCTTTTTATGATCTAGACCGGGAATTTTAAACTACCTGCCATAAATAATCATTTCAGCCAATAGAATATGCCATATATGAAAGAGAATCCGGCACCTGAAACCTAGCAATTTCAACGAATTCGAACTGACGAAATTTTCCTCGACTCCGCCGGAATTACCAAAATTAAACCAGAATTGTGTCAAACCCTAGTCCTCGAATTAAGAGTAAGTGAAAGTTTCCTTTCTCGAGTATCTGAGTAGAGATCAGTGAATTTCAAAATTTAAGCAGAGAAGGGCCAGATCGATTGATCTAGTCGTACAAGGAAACTTCATAAACAAACCCTAATTTCTTTCCATAAGTAAGCAATGGAAGCTGATGGAGAAGGAAATGGTAGTAATTAAGCTTAAAACAACTAGGCAAAACTCACCAAATCAAGAGACGGAATGCAGGTATGAAGCAGATCCAGGAAGAAAGTAGGAGATGCAAAGAGCGAGCGGGAGATTGGAGGAGTTTTTAGAACTTCAATGAGTGACTATGAATTTGTGTTTCCCTTCGGGGACGAAATGCGCTTTGCCCGTGTTTCTGTGCGCATTTAGTAAGTAACAAAATCAAATGGGTATTTTTCATTTTGAATCGCCGCAACGGCTACTTCTCTTTTCTTTCTCCGTTTTTAATTTTGTCTTTTCTTTTGATTTTTCGTGTCATCGTGAGTACTTTTTGAATGCCTGCTTGATTAGTTGCGTTGTGGGTAGGGGTGTTCAAATTAGGGTGGCTATACGGTCCGGTTAAATGGGCCTAAATTGATCCGGTCCAGTCCGGGTTTTTTGAAAATATAAGGACCGAAGATTGGATTGGATACAGTCCGGTCTTGATCCGGTCCGGTCTTGACCCGGTCCGTTCCCAATTCGGTCTTGATTTTATATTGAGATTGTGGGAATTTGAGTGGCCTAAGGCCTAAAAGGGTGAGGAGTTGGTTAAGTTTTGTACTAAGTGCAAAGGTTTGTGACCGTTTATGCAAATTACCCTTAAGTTTTGGGTGTTGAGCTCTCTTATCCGGTCTTTATCCGGTTTTTACCTCAAATCTAAGCCCAAAGATTGGATTGGATTGTTTACTATCTGGTCCCGATCCGGTCTCGGTCCGGGTTATACGGTCCGGTTTCCGGTTTTTCATCCGGTCCCGGTCCAAATAGCCAGCTCTAGTTCAAACGGTGTGGTTACCATGGTAACCAGTACTATTTGGATAATTTGGTTTGGTTAATTTGGATAATTGGTTTGGTTTGGTTAAATTTTTTAGCTTGTTTGGTTTAGGTGGTTTAGTTTGGTTTCATACACTCCTAACCAGCCAAACCAAATTAACCAGATAAATAATTAGCATATATCTAATATGTACACGTACTTAATACTTTGAATAACCACTCAAGAGTTGAACGTTCATCCCTTTTAGACTCATAAAATATAAAGCTTGATATTGTTCCTATAATGTATATTTGTATATGTAGAGTGTGGACCACAACATATGAACGCATAATTTAGATAAATTCATACATTATGTTGGATGAAAACTCGAAAGCAAGGTCCTTTTCAGCCTATGAAAATTGCTAAAAGACTAAGTCAATTCAAACAAACACAAAAATTTGTTAACCCATAGTCCCATACCATTGTGATAAATTTTTGTTTGGTGAATACTTCTATACTAACAGTAAGATAATTGTCTTAGTTGCATGTATTATGTTAAGGGTCAACTATAATTATGTGTTTATTGTTATGTTTTATTCATTATATAAATTGTGAATTGATAAATTAACCGAAATTTTCTCAATTAATGATAATGTGATTTTATATTGGTTAATCTGGTTAACCAATTAACCAAACTGATTAAACTTTAATTTGGTTGTTGTTGTATTAGTTTGGACGGTTTGGTTATGATATTGTATTCCATGGTTAATGAAACTTAGCCTTATTTGGTTTGGTAATAATCATGGTAACCATTTGAACACCCCTAGTTGTGGGCTTGTAGCCAGGGCTCAGGGCCCGGCCGCTCGGGTCTCGAGCTAAGGGTTAAGATTTGATGACTAAGGGGGTCCCTTAGTCACTTGATTAAATCGATTTTACTCGTTCAATCTCATTAAAATTCAATGGCTTCAATTAATTCAATTTAATGAAAAACAATGTAGTAATTGTAGGATTAGTTAATTTATTAATTAAAATAAAAAAATTGTCGGACTTCTCCTTCCGCGCGCACGAGAAAGAAGGATACACGGGTCACCATTTTTTCCGGCGTGATCAACTCTTCCGACGGTGGGGAATTCCCTCCAAGCTGCTGGTCACTTTTTCCCCATGCGCTGGGAATATCTCCCAGAGAGAGAGATATTTTTTTGCTGATCGGAGGAGATTTTTTCGGCGATCGGAGGAGTCTTTTCGGCGACCAGCAACGACGGAGAAGGATTTCCCGTCGATAGTGCTAGATTTGTGATGTTTGTTGATCTATTTTGTAATGTTTGTATTGATTCGGTTTGTATTGTTTATCATTCTTGTTTGTCATTTTTAGTGACATTTTGTATGATTAGTATGTTTTTGTACTATTTGTCGGTTTATGTTGTAATGTTTGTAAGCTTTGTTATTTTATAATGTTTGTCGGCTTATTTTGTAATGTTTGTAAACTTTGTTATTTTTGTGCACCATGTTTATCATTTTTGTCAACCATGTTTGTAATGTTTTTTATGTCTAAAAAATAACATGGTTGACTTTTGGATGAAATTTCGCTATATACGGATGGAGCCTCCAAAGTCAACCCAAGTGTTTTTCCAGTTTGTATGAATTGTCGGTCTAGTTTGTCATTTTGTCCACCATGTTCATAATATTTGTATGTCTAAAAAACAACCGATTTGACTTTGGGACAAAGCCCCTCTATATAGGGATGGAGTCTTCAAAGTCAACCCGGTTGTTTTTTTCTTTTTTATGGTTAGTATTGTTTGTCGGTCTTGTTTGTATAGTTCATACGTTTATAATGTTTGTAAATCTATTCGTATGTTTTTTCGTTCTAGTTTGTACTGTTTGTATGTTTTGTATTGATTGTAAGTCCGTTTTGTATACTTCATAATTTTCCATAAAAACCAAACTACCCCTGTCATTAATTAAATAGCCCTTCCCACTTTTTAGCCGTCAGATTGCTATGTCCAAATCTGGGGGTGCCAAGAATCTGCACCACTCGAGCTAATGCTATCTTGTTTCTTTTACGTTTCATTGCTTCGTATTTATTAGTGTTTTAAACTTTATTCCTCGAAATCAACAATATTTATGAAATTTAATAAGTGTTTGATTTTCTCGTATGTTGAAGGTACCAAATCAAAGTATGAACCGGTATTCAACTGTTAAAAATTTGTTAATGAGTTGATCTCTAATAAACAAGAATATTATAAATACTACATATTTGCCATCCTAATACTGAATTGAGAGCATTCAGCTAAGTTGTGTCTGTTTCCAAAATAAATGAAGTCGGTCATCTTTGAACCGGTCCAAGGCTTGGAAATGACAATTGACAAGCAATAATTTCGTAGAAAAGATGGTAAAGCGCTTCAGTTGTTCTCTTTCCAATCGCATAAAAGATGTAGTCGTGAAGTCGTCGTTTGTCGCATAGATAGTGGATGGACGCGTAGCGTAAGTAGACCAAACTTTGTGGGCGTGCTTTGAGGGTTTGAAATTTGACGTTAACGCAGCAGCTGAGCTAAGGTGCGATTGTGCGAAGTTACCTTTGGCCCTCAATTTCCGAGCAACATTAACGCAGCCAATTAGCCAACAATCCTCATTCCTAGGAGGCAAGGGTTCAGTTGGTTTCGGGGGAGGATGCACGTATGGTTTGCAGGTGGGATGGGGCAATCAGGAGGGGATCGCACTCTGCTGGTGGGATGGTTCTTCTCGTTCAGGAGAAGATACTTCTGTCACAGGGGGTGCAGTTTCCTAGGATGGATGAGCCTGCACTGGTAGAGTTGCTGGTGCTGCGAGAGGCACTGACCTGGTGTTTGGAGTATGGTTTCACGGAGGTCCGGTTTGAGGGGGATGCCAAGGTGCTTATTGATAAAATTAATCAGGGTGACAGGAGGGACAACCGTTTGGGGGCGATCCTGGAGGAAATTGGGCAATATTTGTGTGATCACCCGGGGTTTAGTGTGCGATTTATAGGTCGGGAAAACAATAGGGTAGCTCATTCTGTAGCTAGAAAAGCCCTCTCTTTGTATCAGACTATGAGTCGTTTGTTTGATTTCAGGGTCTGGCTGGTTTCCAGGATGTAACTATCTTTTATCAATATATGATATCTTTTGACAAAAAAAAAAAAAAAGGAGGCAGGGGTGGCAAACGGGTGGAACGGGATGGGTATTTCAATATTCATATTCGTTTCAAAGTAGGGTTATTAACGAGCTGAATCGAGTCGAGTTTTTATTTGTTCATATTTGACTTGTTAATAAACGAGCCGAGTGCGAGTCCGGCTCATTTAATAACGAGCTGAGTCGAGTCAAGGTCGAGCCGACTCATTTATTAAAACCCTGACTCATCATTAAGATTAGAAGTTCGGCTCAACCTCATTTCCTTATAAAGTAACTTTATAACAATCAATTCATAAATTATAATCTCAACAACCAAACAATGTAATTTCAAAATGCATCTATTGTATCAATGCATGCATTTATATCATAGTGATTCATAACAATACAACGATTTAACATACGCAACTTCCAAACGACCCCTAAATATACTAATGACATCTCATGAGCTTAAAACGAAAAAGTTCACGAGTTGAGCTTAAACCAACCACTTAATCAAACTGGCTCACGAGTCTCGCGAGTTAAACAAGGATGAGTTCGAGTTCGGCTGGTTAATAAACGAGTCGAACTTTTTCCTAATCGAACAAGTTTTTCTGAGTCGAACATCGAGCCGCTTCCGAATAAGTAACAATAACTCATGTCCATCTCATCTTACTGTGAATCGGATAATACTCACCTCACTTCAGTACGAATCAAATCGAATAATATCCGACTGGACGAGTTCAAATTGCCATTCCCACAAGCAAAGCAATGGCTGTAACTTACAAGTCGATGTAAAAGACGAAGACCAATTGACTTATCGCCTGTTTGGAGAGAAGACTCTGTTCCCGTTCCCACTGAAATATCCTCTCAACTTTGCAGATCAATTCGCCACTTTCAATCTCTTCCCATCTTCTCCTTACAAGGAGAAACAAAAATGAAAAAACCAATCAAATCAAAAATGGGTTTCCCGTTGCTGCTCGCCTTCTTCTTCTTCTTCTTCTCATTCTTCACCATCGCCTCTGTTTCCGGCGACGAAGCCGTCGACTTCGCCGACTGCTCCACGCCCTTCAATTGCGGAACGAAAACCAACCTCTCCTATCCTTTCTGGTCACTCGGATCCCGGCCGCGAGAGTGCGGCCATCCCGATTTCGAGCTCCTTTCTTGCGAAGACATAAATCAGCACCCTGTTCTCAAATCAGGCTCCCTCCTGCTCCGATTGATTGCACTGAACCAGTCCTCAAAAACCCTAACCGTCGCCCTTACGGATTTCGCGGACACATTTTGCCCGCCGATTGTCGGCGCGGCAACCCTGTACACCTCGCTGCTCGCTCCATCCCCGCCCAATTCCGCCGCCCTTCAGAACTTAACCCTATTCTACGGCTGCCCGCCGACAGTCGCGGGAATTCCAGTGACGAGGCTGTCGTGCTTGATCGGCGGCGATCTGGTGTCGTTCTACGCGAACGAGACGTCTGCGAGGGGCGGAGATTTGGGTCGGGATGTTGAATCGTGCAGAGGGAGAGTGGTGTTTCCGATTCCGGCGGACGTTCCCGACGGAATTTGGGGGAGGGACGCGGAGGCGGAGCTGCGGGGAGTTCTGGACGCCGGGGTTAATGTGTCGTATGGGTATGGAGAATACGGAGTGCTGTGCGAGCAGTGTGGCGCGTCGGAGGGGTTGTGCGGCACGGCGGCGGCCTGGGGGCCTGGTAATTTCTCGTGTCACTGCCTCGCCGGCGGATCCCAACCGTTTAGCTGCCCTGCATCAAGTATGTATTCCTCTCTCCCTATTATCAAATACCCACGCTAAATTATATATACCATCGCTGCTGCTGCTGCTGCTGCTGCTACTTAAATTAGTAGCGATTTAGGTGGTGGTTAGTAGTGATTTTATGATTCTCTCAGTAGTGAATTTTATTGTTGTTACTTGTTGGTAGTGATATAACAATTTTTAGGTAGCAGTAGTTGATTATTATTATTTATTAGTAAGAATTACCGTAAAAAATTACATTGATAATACTGCAAACCAAAAAATACTTACAATAACTATCCAAAACACTAATGTAATATAATTAACAAAAATCAATATTGATTCCAAGAAGGTCAATTTCACACTTGAACTTTCATGATTTGGTCTTCGCGGTAAATGAATGTTACTTTTGGTCATACCACCCGTACCAATACATGAATTTGTATTTTTTTTTTATCATTGTAGTACTAGTAATACATGAACTTCGTATTTGTTGGTAATTCTAATCAGAGTGGATGACATGTACAATTAAATTTTCAATATCATATGCAACAACATTTAACACATGACACTTAAAATAGATCTAAAAAATGGATTATATAAATAATTGTCTTTTCTTCGTTGTTGCTCGATTTTTGTATAGGAATATTATCTAAGAATTTTTTTTATAGAATTATACAAAACTTCATACGAAGGAATCCATGAAAAAAAAAAGAAAATCAAACAGAGAGTCGAGTTATACATAACTTGCATAACTGATGATTCCGCGACAAGTTATACATAACTTGCATAATATATTACAAATTATACGTGGCACATGACATGGTATATTTAATAGGCGTTAATGACATGTATCAAATCTTATTAGAACTATCAATAAATAGGAAGTTGTTGTACAGTAAATATCAAAAATATAAATTTGTGTACCGGTATGACCAAAATTAACGTTCATGAACCGTGATGATCAAATTATAAAAGTTCAAGGGTCGCATTGAACTTCTTGCCAAATAACTACTACCACACTCTCTCTAGGCACCAAAACCAAAATCATTCTCCTCTAACTCATTACACTTCCTCAACCCTTTAGTTCCCTCACTTTAAATTAGGAATGACAATAGGGCAGCTTGAGGCGGGTATCTCGATACTCATACTTGTCCTGTGACAGGTTAGGTACGGGTCGAGAAATTTATCATGGGCACAAGTCAGGAAAAGTCGACCTATATGGATATATAATTTACACGGAATACATTGGAAACTTTGGTTTTCATTAAAAAACCCAGGAAACAAACTATAATATAACATGATAATTGTACTTAAAATATTCAAAAAATTGAGACTCATTTATAACTTTATTATAGCTAAAAATATGAGATAATAAAAATAGAATTCTAAGTAATATGAGTAAAATTACATACAATTTAAGAAAAAATGGGTCGAGAATGGAGTGAGTCGGAGCGGGTAAAGATCAAAGAAAGTACCCATATCTAGGCCTGATTGCGGGTACGTTGCGGTTTACACGCACCCCAAATGCGGTTAGCCGACTCCAAGAGAGAGAGACAATACCGACAACCGCAATTGAGGCCGACGACACACTCGGTTAGCTAGTCGATAACCGCAACCGTCGGTTATTTCGAGACCGACACACACCACCTCCGATCACCGCCATCTCTATGCATGTCACCGAAAAATCTCAATTTTGAACCAGCGACAGAGGACGAAAAAGCGAGCCATCGGAGGCAGATGACAGACGACGATGAGCATATGTGGGTGTCGAATCCGAATCTGAGTCTGTCCCGAATCGAGGTAGATGAAGGAGGAAGGGGAGAGAGCGTCGAGAGGAGGATCTAAATCTTAATCCACCGCCTTAGGCACAAGGAAGAAGATCAGCGACCGAGGACGGCGAACGATGGCAGAGGAAGAAGGTTGAGGACAACAGACGATGGGGCGCCGACTGGTGAGGACGGAGGTAGACTTGACTCTTACTCCCACCGACGGGCGAAGAAGGAAGTTGAGGGAAAGGGGAAAGAGCAACGATGTCGAGAGAGGAAAAGGTTTGGTTGGTGACTATCTATTTCTCCTGGCGCGGTTATTGCAGTGCACCAATTTTCCGTCGATTAGCATCCGGTGGTTGTTGGTTATCAAATAAGGCTCAAACTAGAAAATTGGCCCGCGCTTTGCCGCGGTAATTGGTAGGCTATACTCTCAAATGATTTAAAATAAACTTTTGATTAGATTAGAACAATAATATAAGTATAGAAGGCGTGAGCAAGAGCGAGTGCGAAGGAAATGGAAGTTCAAGCAATCTAGATTGTAGCATGCAAGGTATGAATGTTGCTCACTGATAGAATTGCCTACTTAGAGAACAAAACTCAACTCAACTTGATCCCTTCATCCATCACTTAATTCAAGGCTTAGGTGTACCACCATCAGATTATTTATCAAAAGCTTAAAATCAATTATTAAAGCATACAATGGTGATTACAAATTGCGTCAGTTCAACATTTCCAATATGTACGTAAGGATCGTTTCCTAATCTTAACAGCTACATAAAACCACCATGATAAGAACAAAGCCAATTAAGACTATCCGCAGCTACATTTCCAATATATACGGAACTGAATCCTATGAGAGGGAAGAGTATTTACTAATTGTATTAAAGCTATGATCATGAGGCTATCAATCTATGCCGAAGTTGTGTAATCTTGGCATTCTTGAACCTGTAAAACCAAAAGCCAGCCTAGCATACAACCAAAAAAACATCAAGAGGGACTTTTCAAACATACAAATGGAGTTAGACATAACAAAGGTAAAGTGGACCGAGAACCTCCCGTTTAAAGCACTACAATCTTATTGTGGTTACATTTGTACCCTGCTAGATAATTCCTTAACTTCACCTGCATATCTAATTTGGCTTGTATCAAGTTTATCTCTTGAACTCCTCCAAGATTCATTTTCTTCTTTGTTGCATTAGGGGATTCTACAGAACTCTGAGCAAATTCATTATGTAAAGGCCCTCTGTTATGCATTCAACCGGCTACGCGTATGTTGGGTTCTTCTTTTTCTTCTGTTTCCTTTCTTCTTCTCAAACTTACAATACAGTTTGTCTCGTGACCTTCAGAAGGGATTCAGGTCATTACCCTAGAAAGAGTTATATTTTCAAAGCCTTCAAAGTACGACATATAACCCAAAATAAGGGCATAAGCTGAAGCTATATGGATCAAGCCAAGGATTCTGATTATGCAATCTACTTCTGCCTTTGGTCACTTCAAAACTGCAATGAAGGCTCTGCAATTAAGCAACCACAACATACTCACTCTTAAATATATACTGAGTTACTAACACACACCTAGAATCAAAGGGCTAAATCAAAATAACATGAGTAGATCAGGGAAATGATACAACTGGAACTCCATATATTGTTCAATAGACCTAAAACCAAGAGAAAAATTTGCTTAATAAATTGATTCCCAACCAACTAAAATGAAATCCACATCCAAATACCAAACTTCCCTTACCAACCATTACCAGATGGCGCAAGCTAACTATAACACAATGAGAAGCAATCTAGGGATCAAATAAAATACTCCAGCTAAGAGATAATATCGGTTATGATGCATTGAAATGAGAACAAACACAAATTGCTTTTAATACCCCACATGAACCAATGCAAGCAACTACTGGGGAATGAAGAACAAACAATAAAGAGATCTTACCTCCAAAGGGGGAATCTCCTTGAACAAATCCATCCCACAGCATCCATATCCAAAATATAATTTGGTCACCGAACTGAGGAAGAGAGACTGCAAGCAACATAGAAACGCATCAATCCAGTGAAGTACGAACGGGAGAGGGATCGACCGTCAATCAACACAATAGATGACAACTCACGGGAGCGGAATAGACAGTTGATTAACATACTACTGAATCCTTTAAGCAAAACTCGCCAACAAAACTCACTCACACAATCAGTGGAAACTTCCAGGAGAAAAGTTTCCATCCTTACATTTGGGCAAGGACCAATTAAGGATAATAATGATAAGAGTTGGTAAAATCAACACAAAGCTTCTAAATGAAGGAGAACACAGAGTTCTTCCGCGAGTTCTGTAATCTAATTTTCCTATCAAGTATTATCACATTAGATGTAAATATCTACACAATAAACCACCCATACGCGAATGACAGCAGCGCCATGATTTTAGTCATACCCATATCTAAATCCAAATATCCAATGCAGACAAATTTTGTGTCTTCTATGAAGCTGAACCAAGTACCAACTATGTATAGTACTTTGCGTTAACTTGTATCAAAGAAATGAAAGAGTAACATAGTGTATCTTCGAAAACTTGGACCAACTTGCGATAGTCCTATCCATTAAGTTATATATTTCAAAGAATTGAAGGACCAAAAGAGGATTGTCATACCAAGATTAACTGGATTCATCAATCGTGGCATTCCGGCATGAGTACTTTGTTATTCTTCCTTGTGAGCAGGTGTTTAAGTTTTATAAACTACATCTCTACTCTTGTGGCAAAGAGCACATTTTGCATCCAGAAAGCATGTTTGAGCTACCAAAATTCAATGTAAATATAGAATGTGCATTTTATTTACCTTAAACATGAAAATGATAGTACTATAGCACCAAATGTCACGATTATAAGATATAACTTACTCGTCATAACCTGTATGTTTCATCCAAAACTAAATAAGCTAAAATACGATTACATATTTACAGTTCCCATGAAACATTCACTACAATGGGTTTATGCTAAATCTGTTAAGCTCATGAACCGTCCATGAATCCAGGGTAAAACCCATCTCCTTACTGGAGAACGTCAATTCAAAGCCAAGCGTAAGTCTGAAGGACAAAACTGACGCAGGAAAAAACGGCTCTTACGATCAATGTAGGCTATAATTCTAGTGAAATAAGAAGGCGAAATAGTAATTTGGGATCAGGGAGGACGTACCGACTATGAGGGTGTAAGAGCTGGGTCAAGTTGAGGGGTTGTGTTTGCTTAACTGAGGAAGAGAGACTGCAAGCAACAGAGAAAATCATCAATCGAGTATCCACATGCCTCGATTTGTTGTTTGAGCTCAAGAATCGACAGTAGAGTAACATAGCAGAAGGAAACCCGGAGGCTTCAGCTGTTCTTCAAAGAAGACGGTGACAACTTCAATCCCCCTTCTCTTCCCTACTCGCCACCGACGGCCCAGGCTTCTCCAGCCGCCAGTCGGCAGTCGGTGACCCAACTTCGTCAAGCGCCAGTTGATTGACGGGGGAAGAGAAGAAATCGAGCAGAGAAGTTCGATTGGGAAGGGGCTGGGAAGAAAGAAGCTTGAAATAGATAGCACATCTTGATCTTGGGCAGCCGCCATGTAAGTCTAAAAAAGAGGAAGAAGCGGGGAGAAAAAATGGTCTATGCTGCACTCAAACGTGGGTAGTGTAGGATTTCTGGAAGGGGACGGGAGATCCAGACTTGAGTAGCCGCCAGGCAATCATCGGAGGGAGACCGAGCCATTCACCATCGAATCAGATTATAAAACTTGGGCAGCCGCCAAGCCAATCGCCAGAGGGAGAATACGGGTTGGGTAATTGGAGAAAGCGGGTGCAGATTAGTCACGGTGTACCCGACCTTATTTTACTGAACCCCTTAAGTAAAACTGGCCAATTAATATATCTAATAGACAACCGAGTTCAACATCGCAATCTCTATTATTTGTGTGCGGTTAGTCGAATAACTGTTGGCGGTTCGATATTTGCGTTAATGACTAACCGACAATATGTTATCAGTCCTACCCATATCCAATGTAGTCAAAAGCGCGTTTCTACGTAGAAGCGTTTTGGTGATCTAGAAACATAAAATCGTAAGTTTTTAAAGTTTAAACCGCGTTTTTAACTACATAAGTTATAAAAACGGAGTTTTTGCATAGAAGCGTTTTGGTGACCTAAAAGCGTAAACGCGTAAGTTTTTAAATTTTAAAGCACGATTTTGACTACATTGCCCATATCTACCCCCTCTTACCCGGACGGGTCAGATCTGACTACCACAAAACAGGTCAAATAGGTAAGATAAAATAGTTTAGTTCAAATTTGCCATGCGAATATAATTAGGATAAACCATTTTGTTGGGAATATTTGGAGAAGTAAGTTATAATGTCTACTAGGGCTGCAAATGAGCCGAGCTGCTCGCGAGATATATTTGCTCACATACTCAACGTGTTAAACTTTATATATGGTGAGATATAGCCATATATATGATACCAACAAAATATAATATGAGATTAGCTAACAAAATAAATCATATGTATCATGATATACAAAATGAAGTACCAAATAAAAGTTAAGATTTTAATAAACAAGCTAGCTAAACCTCGACTCGACTCGGCTCGTCAATAAACGAGTTGAGTTCGAACTGGGGTTAAACTCGACTCGGCTCATTTGCAGCCCTAATGTCTACAAGCCATTTCAGACACGTGTCTCACGACTGTTGGCCAACCGACTTTCGAACATGTTGGTGGTAACAGGCCACCACCCTCCTAATTGCCGGTGCCCTTTTCCCCGTCGGCCTCCACCTTCACACAATCACACTGGAGTATTGTATTCGTTTGCTGATTACCAGCCTCTAAATTAATACAACTGGACCCAATTTCCTGTGTGTGGGAGATAATAATTCCTTCCCTTCTGCTCCAAATTACTAAAAAAAATCTTCTCCCTTCTCATTCCTTGCCATAATTCTCCCTTCTCCTCCTGCATTCCAAAATGGACCGCCATTCCACCTCGTGTGCTCTTCTCCTCACCATTCTCATCACCACCACCTTACCCCACACAACACTCTGCTCTCCTCCACACCCAAAGTACAGTTCCTGCGAACCCAGAACCTGCAGTAGTGGCGGCCCTTCCATAAGCTACCCATTTTGGCTGTCTGATCAGGAATCCTTCTGCGGCTTCCCCAATTTCCAAATCACCTGCAACGACCAAGGCTACCCAGCTCTCGCCATCTCCAATGACGAATACGAGATCAGAGACATCTTCTACCCGACCCACTCCCTCCTCCTCTCGTTCCCTTCCTCCGCCGCCGCCGGCGGCCGCGGCGGTTCCTGCAAAACCCCTCTCCACAACCTCACCCTCGATCGAACCCCCTTCCACATCTCACCCAACGACACGCTTCGTCTCTCCTTCTTCTACAATTGCAGCAGCTGGCCGCCTCCTGGGGTTCTCAATTTCTCTTCCCATTCATCCTACCCGATCAATTGCTCGACCAACTCCACTCATTCCTCCTTCGCCGTCTTCCTCGACCAGCTGCCGGAGGAGGTTGGTGAGGAAATCAGGGAAGCCAGGTGCCAGCAAATCGTGGAGACTCCCGTTCGCCGTGGGGAGCTGGTCGGCGACGGCTCTGGTGATTACAGCGACATTTTGGAGATGGGTTTTGTGCTGAACTGGACTGCGCAGAATTGCAGCGATTGTTCAGGCAGTGGCGGGCGGTGCGGGTTTGAGAATAATCAATTTGTTTGTTTTTGCCCTCATGGGCCCCGACCCACTTCTTGCTATGACGGTATTTGTTTTCTAGCTCCGAGATCTCCATTCTCCAGCTTGCTTCTCTGCTGTTTCTTCTGCTTTTTCTACGCGTTGAACATAGAGTAGTGGATACTGGTATTGGTTGATTGAAATTTACGACTTTTCAGATACCTGTGGGTCTTATTTAGGAACCCAAAAAGTCCACGGTATTAGCTATTATTGTGTGCCTTCCATATTGGTTCCTAGTCAATAACCATCGAATTAGACTTGGTCCAAGAACGAAAGAGGACGGTGATTTGTCGAACATTAGCTGTGAAACTAACTTTCTGGGCCACCGTTTTAGCTCTTGGAACTCAGCTTGCCTTGGTTCACATTCCTCGTCTTTCATATACGAGATAGCGATAACCCTTCTCCTCTTGACAAACTAAGCATCCAGATCCTCTGCAGTTTGGAAAACTCGGTTTTAGGAAGTCCTCATGAGTTAGTTGTTCTCTTTATGTTACTTACTTGATCGATCTTCAATTCCTTGTTTTGTTGCATAAAGAATGTATCTTGGCTTCTCATTGTTTGTTGTTCTGACTTCTGATGCAGGGAATGAACCAAATGTCCGGGCGAAAGTTGCGATAGGTAAGCTGCTGCTGCTTCCATGAATTTCCATTTCTGTGCCGCTTTGGGGGTCAGTTGCTAGTAGCTTCCAAAGATTATGCAAAGATGGAGTTTTGAGAATAGTTGTGAATACCCTTTTATCCAGGTGTTGGAGCAGCTGTTGGAAGTGTGGCCATAATGCTCGTTCTCTTCCTCATATACCTCCGGCGTAGAAGACAACAACAATATTCAGCTACCGGTTCCTCCCTGTTATCTAGAAGCATATTTTCATACCCCTCTTCAAAATCCAAAGTGGAGCTTGAGAAGGGTACTAGCAAGTATTTTGGCGTTCAGGTCTTCACGTATGCAGAACTTGAAGAGGCCACCAATAACTTCCATTCGAGTAATGAACTTGGAGATGGAGGCTTTGGCACTGTATATTATGGTAAGAGATTGATAAATTTCCAGTTAAACACATCTACATTGTCAAGTTCCACTTCTCCTCACTTGCAAAAACTGTCCTTCCTCCCCAAACAGGCAAACTCAAGGATGGTCGAACTGTTGCAGTGAAACGCCTGTACGAAAGCAACTACAAGAGAGTAGAGCAGTTCATGAACGAGATCGAGATTCTCACTCGCTTGCGCCATCCCAATCTCGTCTCCCTATACGGATGCACATCTCGCCACAGCCGCGAGCTCTTGCTGGTCTACGAGTACATTCCAAATGGCACGGTGGCTGATCATCTCCATGGCGAAAAGGCGAAACCCGGAGCCCTCTCGTGGTCCACTCGAATGAGCATCGCAGTGGACACAGCAAGCGCACTCGCATATCTCCACGCCTCCGAGATCATTCACCGTGACGTGAAGACCAACAACATTCTGCTCGACGAGAATTTCGTCGTGAAGGTTGCCGATTTCGGGCTGTCCCGCCTCTTCCCCACCGATGTCACCCATGTCTCCACGGCTCCACAGGGGACTCCCGGGTATGTCGATCCCGAGTACCACCAGTGCTACCAGCTGACCAGCAGGAGCGATGTTTTCAGCTTCGGGGTTGTCCTGGTCGAGCTGATATCGTCCATGCCAGCCGTCGATATCACGAGGCATCGACACGAAATCAATCTGTCCAACATGGCGATCAACAGGATCCAAGGCGACGCTCTGCACGAGCTTGTGGATCAGAGTCTCGGGTTCCAGTCGGATGCATCGACAAGGAAGATGATGACGGCGGTGGCAGAGCTGGCATTCCAGTGTCTTCAGAGTGATACAGATTTGAGGCCTTCGATGGATCAAGTCTTGTGTACGCTGCTGGAGATACAGAGAGTGGGGGATGTCTCAGAGAAGGGGAGTAAGGCGCCACAGGATGTAAGGTCGGATGATGCTTCGTTGTTGAAGAGTGTTGTTGTTCAGGATTTGCCACTGTCGCCAAATTCTGTAACTGGGAAATGGCCCAGCGTTGCTACAACTCCTAACACCAGCAGTTGAAGCTTTTGGTTTTATAGAAAAGTTTTCCTGGTTTGGAAGGACAAGCAATGCAGTGGATGTAACTTGTAAGTACTTTTTTTTTTTTTTGCCCCGGTTTGTTCTAATGGTATTTTGATAAGCAGTTAGTTGACTCTGGTTTGACGAGGATGTATACAAATAGTTAAGGTCATTAATAGATGTACAGAGCCAATCAATGTGAGTTTATATCACATTCCTTCTCCCTTTCCCTACTCTGTTTGCCTTGTTGTTGAGTTTGTTTTGACCATACTGGTTGGGATGGCTTGGAAATTAACTACAGGCAAACCTCTCTGATCCTATTTCATTGTATCATGTTGGTGGAATGCTTGCTAGAATGGTCAAGTGAACCATCTTGATCCATGTTGCAAATGGCATCATTGAGCTATTGTGCGTTGTTTTATTGGTAAAAATTATCATAGAATCCTTTGGATTTTGGTAGAATTTACGGAATAGTTTGGACAGTTGATGGAAACAGGTAAAGTGATTGGAAAATGGGGATTTAGGAGAGATTGAGGATAGATTTAGGGATTGAGAGGATTGGTTTATAGAAGAAGAAATGGGGGAATAATGAGAGAGGGAGAGGTCGACCGGAGCTAGGCTCGACGGAAGAGGGAAAGGGGTTTTGGGCTAGGAGAGTGGTGACACGTAGGATTGGGCATGCGGGCGGATCATCCACGGGTTTGGGTCAACCCACCTGCATTTGATCCGAATTTCGTTATGTGGGTGAGTGACGGGTTGCGCTGGGAGCCATTCGTCGGGTGGTGGATGTGCGGGTGAACTGCTCAACTCAATAGCAAAAAGAACAAAGTCGTTGGCCTTGGAGATGAGAGAGTGGAGACGTTAGAAGGAAACTAGGCTGCTTCTGGAGATTGAACCTCAAAGCCAACCTTACAAATCGCAATCCCCTCTTCTTCCCTTTATTTTTCCTCTAATTCTTGTTCCTAAATCACCTCACTTTCCTCCATTGAATTATTTTCCTTAGTTCCATGCACTTGATAATCATCTCCATTTGCAGAAAATACCTCCATGATAGAATTTCTACACAATTTCAAAACTAACTCGACATTTTTACCTTCCTATTCCATCTTCTTGTTTTCGCCCGATAACTCTCTCCACTGTTTATCATCTCAAGTTGACTCCTTTATATTATATACACTGCGATGTGAGTGAACCTGCAAACCCACCCGCATCATCCATCATCCGCTCGACCCAACCCAAGACTAAATATGGGTGGATGGTGGGTTAAAAATTATCAATCCGTTTAAGCGCGGGTGGGTGCATTTTATGGTCAAAACCCACCCGACCCACCAATGCCAACCCCTAGTGACAAGTTGCCATTATACCCTTTCCGTGAGAGCAACCTTGCTTTCAATGTTGATCCGCAGAATCTTGGCTAGTCTTTCTTGTGTCGGCCATCATTTCTTCGACCTCGTCCTCCAGATTGTCAATCAGCAACATGAAATGAGCATTGACACACTCGTGACACATAGTGTACATCTCGTCGCAATTAAGCAATGTTCGTCTCAGCGTCTCTGCTCCATCTCTAGTTTGTGATTGGAGGCTAGCCGACGACGACTACGCTAGTGAAAAGGTGAAGAAAGAAGGTTTGTTGTTCGGTTTGCTCAGAGGAGGAAGATAAGACAATGGCAAAATTGAATTTTCGCTCAAATTGGTTATTTCAATTGAAATCTCGGGTTTACTTCCAAATTAGGAATTTGACTTAAATTCCGCATATGAAAACCCTAGGTTTTAAAACGGCGAACTTGTGACCAAAATCACACAATTTAGAAAATCCTAATCCAAACAACTTCAAAGCCTTTTATCATCGGTCATAAAAAAAACCATCAATAGTTCTTTTTTTCATTTTATCTCCCAACCTCGGTGACTCATGACTCTTTTTTATATTGTTTATTAATAAACTCCTGACTGTTATGTTTGTTTGAAAAATAAAGATACGCTACAAAATACGGACAACAAAATTTTCAAAATTCGCGTCTTACCACCCCTAATGAGAATCATACCATCACATATATGATTGTATCAGCGGGATATATATGATTCGTATCACCGATGATAAGATATTAAATGTTTTCTTCAAAAAAAAAAAAAAGATCAGATATTAAATGTTGTAGGTTTTACCTATTTTGCTTTTCTACCAATCCTTAAAAAGACCGTTGTTAGGTTTTGCCACTAATGAGCTATGTACATACAACATATGAGCCAAAATTAGCTTAACATGATGCACCCTACGAAACAATCAATAAAACAACAAATCATGACCGTTAGACCACAATTAAGGATTCTTGTTTCCCTCGAATCAAACTAATCATCCCAACACACCTAATTTACATCCTAAAACTGCATAACCCCAGGAGCAAATCTCAACAACCTACTCAGCGAATGAGGCCGGAATTTCCTAGCAAACAAGAAGCACACCGACGACGATGAACCCCCATCACCACCACCGGTAACATTGTGATAATAATGCACCCCGATCCCTCCCCCGGCGGCCCCGCCGACGTTCCTCCCGTACTCCCCACACATCCTCCCACCGTCCCTCAGCCCTTCCAAAAACCCCACCGTCACGTCGGGCCGCCAGAAGCTCCGCGGGTGCGGCCCGCGGACCGACCACTCGGCCCACGTCAGCGTCCGGTTCGAGTTCCAGCCCCCGAACCGGGCGTTGACCATCGTGGGGAGGTAGTGCTCGTCCCCGTAGCAGGACCCGTTACAGAGCCGCTCGAATAGCGGGAAGTAGGTCCGGTCCGAGACCACCTGGACCGCCAGCCGGCGGTCCATCTCGAACCACTGGGAGCCCTTCCGCCAGTGGGCCGGCTTGATGGTGGGCTGCATCGCTGGGCTGTACCGGCCCCGGCCCACCGGGCCCAGCTGGTCGAAGACTTCCACGTGGGATTTCGTGGAGGTGATGAGGTGGGTGTAGATTGTGGTGAAGTTGTAGAGAGGGATGCAGGATTCGGATAAGAGGATGAATCGCTCGTTGGAGAAATCGAGGAGCGCGTTGGCGAGGAGGCGGCGCTCGGCTGCAACCATGGTGGATTTTCCCCATTGCACGTCCTGCTTATTCATTGAAAAAAAACAGACGATTAAAATACGATACAGGTAAGTTACTTATAACATATGTACGGTGTTGGTTAGAAACTAGGGTATAATATAAATTTTTTTTTAATTCGAATCAATTCATGATTCATATATAGTTTTCTTATTAAAAGTATGTGATACTCTTAAATTTATTTTTTGTACGATAAAAGCTACCATATTTATACGAGGGTATGAATCTAGAATTACCGACAGCACAAGACTACGCACTCTGAATAGCCAAAGAGGATCATTAGCTCCCTTCATGACTAATGTAAGAATAAGAATAAGCTCTATCGACACCCAACTTCTATGTCCAAGAAACCTTTGAGCTATGAGCCTATGACATCAGATAATTAATTCTTTAAAAAAAAAATTAGATGATTACATTTTTCTCGTCAACCAATCAATAAAAAAAACCAATGCGCTTTATACAAAATAAAAACTGTATTTGAGATTTTTAATTTTCTGTTGTGCATAAAACCGGTCAATAGAAAATTCAAATGTTTTACAAAACAAGGTTGTAAACTTGTAATTGAAGTGGCGAGCCGTTGCTAGCAGGTGTACATAATAAACTATTGTTAGGTTCAACTCTACTCGTCTTTCTTAGGGTGTGCAACGATTTGGTTCGTATCAATCCATACTGAACTACACTGACCGAATATTAAGGAAAACAGTAATCTCTCATATACTGCGTTCATATAATTCGATCACGATACATATTTAATCCTAGATCACAAAAAATAACAATATCAATGCTAGAGGCGACCAATTGAAGGGTTCAAGGATTGGCATGCACTTCCTCTTCTTGATTTAGGGATTGATAAAGAAAAGGAATTGCTTGTTTGGAAGAAAGTTGGGTGACAAATGGGAAAGATGGGGATCATGTGGGAGATTAATCCAACCCATGTTCTGTCACAATACCTGTCTGTCTGGATGTTAACACTTTAGTGGTGTGCCAATGCCACTACTATACCCATTTCTTAAACAACATTGTGAGGCTACAACTAGACCACAAAAAGCACGTTAGTGATGCTGTCGTATTCGTACTCATCCTGATTCAGGGTTTGTAAAACCGTATAGTAACAGACAGTTCGACCGAAAAAACTTCCATCAAGAGAGAAATTCGGTGGGTGTTTTTTTTTGTAATATAAATGGTTTAATAACAATTTTAACATATATACATTTCGGTATATATGTTAAAATAAAGTTAACATAATCAAATTTGACTAGAATCGCACCACATAATCAAATTCCAGTTTTCCAATGGGCTGTCCATGATAAAGTTAATTCCCACATACCATAACTATCAATTTAATCATGATAATGATAAGAACTTCATGCTACATTATCTGACTAGTACTTCGCAATTATGCATGAAAATTCCGTAACTAATTTCCATATTATAATCGTTGAAAATGTTCTGAATCTCTTGAAAACTCAGAAAGACTACATTCCTTAGTTTTCAAACTTGGACAATTCAAGACTCTTTTATAGCATAGTCTTTCATCATCAACAAAGTAAGGATTGTGAAATCGTGCCGGAAGTTATATTATAAAAATTACTGATAGAATGTTTTGTATTAAAATCGTGGTTTAACGATAGCCTAACCATTTCATACAACTGAAATAGCCTATCAATTTCAGTCCAATATCCGATATTTTTCGATCCAACCGACCACGAGAGAACTTCTTAAACCTTGCAACAAAGTTACTTGAATTGAATGGAAAGTGTAAACAAAAAACCATCCAAACTCGGGAAACATCCCCACAGTAAAAAAAAAAAAACAAAAAACAAAATTCCACGCATTGTTGTCCATATTAATATGAATTAAGGGAAAGGATTAAAGGGTGATTATTACTAAATTAGTTAAAAGTAATGGGTGTGTATGAATAAATAAAAAAAATCAAACAAAAAACGTTACTCACTGACCTTGCTCGGGATCCTCCTGCCGTAGAACACCGAATCAGCTGCGAAATCCGACGTCGCATTGACATACGACGGAAGGGAATGAATGTAGATCGTGTAAAGCCCCTCGTCTCCTCCCCTGAAGAAGAGCTCCCACAGCGGCGCCAATGGCAGAGGCCCAACCGTCAGAAACATGAACGCCACTTTGGGCACACGGCGGAACGGGAATTCGGAAACACGCGGCACCATCGAGGCCCGCCACATCAGCTCCCCGTCGTCCATTTCGTGCCAGGGTCCGGTCGATTGCTGGACCGCCAGAACAGGGGAGGCGCCGGCGGCGGCGGACTTGGAGATGGAGAATTGGCTGAGCTGGAACGTAAATGAGATGTTCGACAGGTAGAGGCCGACTCCGAGACCGGAGAGCAGCCCGAACGCGAAGAACGCGGCGGAGAAGATGAAGTTGTGGAGGGGGAATTTCCTCTGCCCGTTGATCAGGCGAAGAATCACCGGCGCCGGTGGTGGGTGCTCTGTTTTGTGGCTCTTCGTGTTCTTCATCGGGGGGAAAAGGGTATGGGAAACGAAATGGGTTTTCGAAAATGGAGAAGGGAAATTAAAGGGAAGATGAGAAATTGAAGAGAGAGAGAGGGAAAGGGAATTTGGAACGAAGGAATGAATTTCCCTCTGTTCTGTTGTGTTCTTTTCCGGTGGCGTTTGAATTGGGGTTTTGGTTTAATCAAGGGAATGGAATTCCTGTAAAGGCCTGCAACTTGGAGGGGACGGGAGTTGTGGGGCCTACAGGGTTTTGGAATTGCCGGTGGGATTCGGCCCGGTGATCTTCCACGGCGGCGGGATGGAATCATAATACATAACAAGAAGGAAAATTCATCAAAGAAAACAAGGAGGAAGGATTTAATTGTGACTTTTCTTTATCGGGATAATCATTTTGTTGTATTGAAAAGCCTTTTTTTTTTCTTTGGAAAATAAAAGAGAGAGATGGGACACGGAAATGAGGATACTGGATGTTAGGGTCAGGGATGGCAATAGTTCGGGTAGAGAGCGGATAGTGTATATATTACTATATCGTAATCAAAATAATTTACATTTTATTCATATCCTACAAGAATAGGATAAAAAATTAAAATCGTGTTCATACTTGATTGGATTTCGGATTTTTCATTTTATGGTTATTCATGTATACTAAATTTCATTTATAACTACAACGAACATGCTAGGATTCGTAAGTAGTGACATTACATGAGTGGAAAAGTATGATGATAAATCGCCAGAATGAAGAAAAGTAGTTAAAACAATACATTTTCATGAAAAATATGATATATGTATAACAAATATCACATATGTTAAGAAATATAATGATCATTTCTAAACAAAATACATATGCATGTGTGTAATCGGGCTAGCTCAGACTGAATAGTGAGAAAATCATATCTACCACCCGCAATACCGAGTTCGAGTATTATCCATATCCATTAATAATTCTTCGAATTCAAATTTTTGTCCTATCTAATTAAGTCGAATTCATATCGATATCGACTAATATTTTTGCCACCCCTATCCAACCTGGGTCGGATTGAAAATTTGCAGGTTTGATTTCAATGATTAAAGCTAATTTACCAAAAGGGGGGAAAAAAGGTTTTTCAATCAAATTAAAAGGTGGTGAGTCTGGTGACATTATTCTGCGTGTGGTATTTAATACATTTGTTGCTAACATTCGTGAATTTTCCAAAACTTAAAAGCACAATGAATCTCAAGACAATCGTGGATGATAATGCCATACTTTCCCCCTTTTAATGATGTTAGTGGGAATCTCACACTACTGTTTCTTGGCTCTCTTCGTCCCGGTCCCGTTGGCCTTGTTTTCAGCTCTGAGCAGCCCGTTCACAGTCCTTTCCACCGCCGTGCAATCCCTATTCGGCGATTCACTGTGATGGGTGTCTTTGAACAACCCCCAGAAGGCGGCATATGATTTAGCAATGCCTTTTTCATGGTCAAGACTGGTTTGGGTGAGCTGAAGATGCTGTGTTCCACTCTGGTTGATGTGATTACAAAGTTGGCTGATTCCTGTGTTTTGGCTCATGGAAGGATCCCCTTGTTGTTTCTGTTCTTGTTGTGTTGCCTTCTGTCTTTTTTTGGCTTTTTCCTTATCGGTGTTCTCTGGATGTTTGATGTTATCTGCTGGTTGGTTTGGGTTTCCTTTCTTGTTTGGGGTTTTTTCTTGAAGCTGGATTTCAGGGGTTTTCCTCTTCTTTGTAACTGTGTTCCTTCCAAGTGAAATACAAGCAAATCTTTGTCAAAAAAAAAAATGATGTTAGTGGGAGGGAGGAGAGTGCCTTCCAACGGGGGCATAAAATAGGAGTAACGCTTTCCCGAGTTTAACCTTAGGGACTTTTTTTTTTTTTTTGTGACAAGTGAATTAGTTCCCTTGAGTCTTGAATATTTTCCATAATTTTTTTTTATGTGATAAAAGGTAAATACTATGATTTCGTTGTAAAAAATGTGGTACGGGTAATACGGCACATGGAATACTATATGGCACAATCTAGCTTTATTTAATTCGAGTCCAAACATGATGGTTCATCAGACCTGTCCAAGCCCAGCTGACCACCACTATCGGTTACAGAGAGCATACAATTTGAGTTCCCCCCATGTATCAGAGGAACATATGAGTCGGATACAGGAGTTGTTTGTGGACAGGGACGACAATTTCAAATTGACCCATCCTACTTGACATGTTTCCTCTGTTTTAGGCTGATAAGATCCATCTGAACGGGGCATGCATTAATACTGTTCTCGACCTGATCCGCTCGGACCTGTCCTATTTTCGATCTATTATTGTGTAAATTATATGTAATTTTACAGAAATTATCACCACGTAATTGTTACGAGCCTTCTCATCTTTCTATTAGCATTCCTAACTAGAGATGATTGTTTGCATGCAACTAGTTGGGACTTGGGACAACCAACAACTAGGACCCATTATGACGAGTTGACACAATCATATTGCAAACAAATCATCTCGATACTAAGTATATATTGTAAAGTTAAGTTAAGCCAAGTTATTCACCTTGCAATTCGATTTCATATTCCAATCATGGTTTCTTACTTAAACAACCTCCTTTGATTAAGTGGCCAAGTTACTCCACTGGCTACTTGAAAGCTGTTCAACTAATTGATTGATGAACAAGCAAGCATTGAATTTTGAGATTATGAACCCTAGTAAAAATCACCATCAAAATTCGGATTCAAAGTTCTTATTTCGTTGGAACTCCAATGCCATTGGATTTGCTCAATTTTAATGGTTGTAACTACTGAACCAAGCCCACCAAATTAGCCCAATTCTGAAATCACTTTCTCTGATATCCAGATTCTAAATCAACCTGACAAAGCCCAAAACGACGATTATGTATTGGATTTAAAATCCGATTAAGTAGCCCAAAATGATTAGGGTCCGGAATTTGTATCCCGAATCCCAAACCAAAAGGCCACAAGAAAAGACTAAATATGGTCATGAATTTTTTTTTTATGATTAAGGATTAGCCGCAATTATAGAGCATTTAAGAAAAAAAATGTGACAATTGAATAAGGCGTGACATTTATAAAAGGCAAGGAAAATTACATGTTTCTCAAATGTCATATTTTTCCAATGTTACTTAAATTGTACCGTATTGGTAGTTCGATCGAAAAAACTTTATATCAAAGTCAAAATTAGTAGACGATTCTTATCAATGTGAACTAAAATTAAACTACAATTTCAGCATAAAATATCCTATCGCTAAATTTTTCGATACAACATCTATAACTGTTTTACAATCTTTGCCGCATTTCATAAACGACCCATACAAACCGTAAAAAAAATGGCAAGTTATTAGTTATATTAACACACCATGTTTATAACAATTATTCTTGAAAATGCTCGCAATAGTCCTCTCGAATTTTTTATCAGTCCACTCTCCTGTCTGATGTCCACTAACACTTAATTAATATGGGGGTTTGGATATTTAAACTAAATTGATTTTCGAAATGATATAGTGCTTACTTATTACATACATCACTATTTGGCATTGACCGTTGAATATTTCACTTCCGCAGAACCAATTTCAGACTTTTTCTCCAGTAGTGAATAAAAGTGAAAATTAAAAAAAAAATTAGAGATTCGTCGATGTTAAGTTCTTTTCTGTTATATATAATTCCGGAACAGAATAACAAAATACGAAAAAAGCAAAGCACGCAGATCAACAAAATGCTTCACATAATATCGAGTACAATGCCTCCAAAAAGAACACGTCACGATACACGGAACGGCAAAGTTTTGCCCAACAACTTGACCCTTGTCCATGAAACAAAACTTACAAACATGTGTAACCTAGGAAGCTAATCAAACGGCATAGTGTGTAAACCTATATCCAATGATTGGAAAAACCATAACGAAGGTTGTACCGTAAAAGGTCAGCGATATATGATATTTCATACTGAAACTGCGGTTCAACTATTTCACATCGCTAAAATACTGTCTATTAATTTCGCTTCCGAAATTTTCTTGCTCAACGATCAATACGATACGATTTTTCAATCCTCGCGTAAATAACTCACCTCCTTTGACCGGAGTTTTTTTTTCCTTAGTGCCCACGGGTCAGGTAGCGCGGCAACGGGCTGGCCCGCGGCGAACGGACGGGAACCTCGTTGACTTTCTTCCCGCAGCTGTCGTAGTAAATCACGCCGGAGAAATCCAACGGCTGGCACTTGTCCCCCATCAGGATCGACCGCTGCCACACGCCGCCGTCCCCGAACTCGTCCGGCGCAGCCACGTCGCCGCCTCTCCGATCCTTATTATTATTATTGTTCCTGCTGCCGCCGTGGACCAACGTGACGGCCTTGTTGCTGATCTGCGTCAGCAGCTGCTTGGAGTGACGCACCAGCGGCGATCTCGGCGGGCGGAGTACCCCGCCGCCGTCGTTGTCGGAGGAGGAGTAGAGGCCGTGCGGCGGTTGACGGTTGGGCTCTGTCACGGGACACAAGATAAGTTTTGGTAGAACGATAACAAATTTCTAAATATCAACGGTGTGGGCCGCCCTCCCTCGATCCAGAGCTAGTATAGCACTTGTAAATTTTTCGATTTTCGGTGTTCGTTTTAGTGTTCGTTGTGTTGGCTCAGCCCTATTCGCCTTTTTTTCTAACGTGGCCCAGTGCTCTATCCAATCCTGGATCCGCCGCTGCTATTATGGGGAAAGAATTGAACTCACTTTATTGTATTTGATTTTTATAAATTAATTTATTTAACTATAAGTGAAATTTATATATTCTGCGAGAAAAGTGCTCACCGAATTTTAACTTCCGGCTCCGCCGCTGCTGACGGTGGCAGCCGGGAATATTAATATTGGTGGTGGTTTTGGAGAGCTTGGTGGAGAACTTGCCGGCGTGTTTGGCGCAGAGGGCCATGAGGGAAGATATGGACATGAGGACGCCGAGGGTTAGTCGCTTCGACGACGACGAGCCGGCGGCGCGGCGGTGGTCGTCGGGAGTGGATGGTGTCGCCATGTGCTCGGTGGTGATCGGAAGGCAGAGCGACGTCGTAATGGTTTTTTTTTTTTTTTTTTGTGGGTTTTGTTGTTGTGGGAAGTATGTTGATATGAGATAGGAGAAATGAGAGCCGAGGGTTTGAATGGGCTTTGGACTTGTGGTGCATATATATATAGAGGGAGAGGCAGTAGAGAATTGTGGATAATTTTGTCTTTGTAAGTTTGAGAGTTGACTTGCCCCCTCCTTTCAAGTTTCCATAGGTTGTCAACTTTGCCTATTTCTCCTGGTTTGGTGTAATAGCCTCTAACTTAATTATTAGGGCGGGAAAAAATATTTTCTCAGAAAACGGAGCGATTAAAGGGCGCTCCAATCTTTATTGATTAAACAAAATGGAGGTGTTTTGATTTCAATACTAAGGAAATGCAACCAATATACGGGAACACTGGTTGGTGGTTAGAATACATGGAGCCATATGGAGAGGGCGTGACCAAGAGATCGGCAAGGTAATCTGCTACATAGTTTGCCTCACGATAGATATATTCTATCCTGAATTGGCTAGACTAATCAACATCTGATCTCAGCGATGTTGGGGTTTGGGATCATTGGTTTGGCCCACTTCCCATATCTATGTTAGTTGCCGAGTCGACCAGTCTCTTTGAAACGTGAATCGTATCTATGGTCCGATCTAGACGAAACCACACTGTTTTAATAAACACGTTGCCAGAGAAAAGCATGACTAACGAATACTACTAGACCCGGTATCGCTAGTTGAAGTGACCCGAACTTGCACTATCGTCCAAATAGTAATAAGAAAACCCAGCAGCCGTATTCGATTTTAAGATCAGTAAGTATAGCACTTAAAAGTCCATACCGGCCACCAGTTTAATTAAAACGCACTTTGGTGCAGAAATTTTTGGTGGGTTTACATACGCGTCAACTATAAGGACAGCAAAAGTGGGTACTGGGTAAATCAATGTGGCCTTAGTATTCCAAGTGGCCATTTCATTAAGCTCGAAAACCAGTTGAAATTCTAAGAACTGCCGCCCACCATGGGATGGATGGGATCGCCACTTCCCCGACTCGGAAAGGCAGGCGGAAGGATGAATCAGAGTCGACTTTAATAATTTTGTGCAACTTGCGTGCTTGAGACCTAATTTCCACCACTATGGGTGTCTGGTAATTTCTAACTCGACTCGTACGATCCGGTCTTCTCGGATATGTTTGGTGGGTATTACTCGATTCGTAATATTATTCGACGGGATATAAGTACTGTTTTCGATTCATCTCGTCGTGTTCTCGATTCATTATACCATGATTTGCATCAATATTTGCTTTTTTTTCTTTCAAATCTCTCTAAAATCATATTTTCATCGCAAATAAATTTCAAGACTCTATCTTTCAACTATTTAGACGCAATTATTCCTTCTACTAAATTTCTCATCCATTTGGAAAGTGTTTTCTCTATGTGTGTCTTTGTAAAAGTGTTAAATATCGACATTTTTTTTCAAATAACATATAAAAGTAAATCGATCCAACACGCCTCATACCCACGTGAGTAATACCAAACCTGATATGCGTTTAATATTAGAGGGATAGCGGATATGAATAAGGGAGTTACTATTCATCGCCCTAAAAATTTAAATTGTGTCGACCTAAATTTAAAAATAGACACATTTACCCTTATTCTTAATTTCTAACCTAAATCTCAAATAAAGCAGCACGGCGGCGGCAGTTGTCTGGCCAGGCAGACAAAGGAAGCAGAGAACGGCCATGCTGCCGGGGAAGACAGAGGGCGGCCATACTGCGGGCCGTGGCGTAGCCAGGATTTTGGGTAAGGGGTGCCAACTTAAAAAAAATTAAAGTGACTATCAATTTTTAAGAGTGACCCATGACGAATTCTCATAGTTTGAAAACTCTATAAAATACATTCATCATCCAGACTATCAAGAATGTCACTCTCAATGTATCCTACCAAAAAATTATTCATGACATCATCACTCATTCCACTCCGAAAAGTGTTTTTCATGTAGTTCATTGCCAAAAGGGAAAGAAGAACGAAAAAAGATGAAAGGTGGGACTGGGAGAAGTCTTGCTTGTTAGGGCTAACGTTCCGATTACTGCTTGAATAAGGATACAATTATGAATTTTTTTACTTTACTTGTTATTTGTAAGCGTAAATTAATTATATATACACAATAAAACGTGTTGGTGTATCACATAAGTAATTGTAGTTTAATGTAAGATGCCAACGCTAATAAATAAGGAGGTTCCATGTTCAAATCCTAGTTATAGCATAAACTAATACACCTATTTTTTGATGCTCTAGTCCCAATCCAAGGGTGTGCCATGAAACACTCTATTTACATGCTACCTCCGCCCCTGACTGCGGGGAAGACAGAGGGTGGATGCGAACCGGTGCAGAGTGATGCGGCGAGCATAGGGCGGCAGCGCTGCGGGGAAAGATAGAAGGCGGCGGCGCAATCGGGGAAGAGAGAGGGCGGTGACGAGCAGGAGCAGAGGGATGCGTCGTGCTGGAGCAGAGGGTGGCGACTCTGCTAGGAAGACAGAGGACGACGACGCTGGAGGAGAGGGATGCGCTAATCAGGGGAAACAGAGGGCGGCGAGCAGGAGGTGAGGGATGCGGCGACTCGTCGGGGGAAACATTGGGTGGTGACGTTGTTGGGGAAGTCAAAGGGCGGTGGCGAGCGGGAGGAGATGACAGCAGGGGCTCGTCGGGGAAGAAAAGATATCGTGAGAAGAAGGCGTTTATTATTGGGGGCAAAATCGTCCATTCATTATATTTGGAGCGATTTATTTAAAAACTTATGGCGTTAAATAGAAGTTTAGTATAAATAATAGAGGTGGCAATTGGATCGTATTCATGAATTGGTGGATCCATGGATCAAATGGATTGGTGGATTCATGGATTGGATCAAATGGATTGGTGGATTGATCCATGAATCCAAATGACATCCAAGGCTTGGATCAAAATGTAAAATTTGAAAAGTTTTGGTACTAAAATGTCGTAATGAAAAATTTTAGGTACCAAAATGTAAATTTCCAATGATTTTTTCGTATAAAAATATAAATTTTAGGTACCAAAATGTAAAATATAAAAATATATAGGTATCAAATCGTAATTTGCCATTTGGATCCATGGATTGATCCATGAATCCACCAATCCAATTGGATTTGGATCAAATGGATTGAATTAGATGGATAATTTGGTGGATGGATTGAATTGGATTCATGAATCTGAATCTTAACTGCCATCTCTAATAAATATTAAGGTATCCACCCCGTACCATTATTGACATCACTTCTGGCCCCGCCGTCGGAATTGCGTGGTTGAACAAGTCATTGCCCAGTTTCATGCCGCATCCATTTTCTTCTTCTTTTGTTAATCAATCATATTAACGCCTTTTTGTTTCTTGGTATGGTCGAACATCATGCTATGGCCCAACTTTACCTTCAAAATTATTTGCATTATTATATGTAATCTTCTGTGGAGTTTCGATGGTAGCTATATGAGTGTAGTGTATGATGTTAGTCATGGCCTAAGTCTACTTTTGTATGAACTTTAAGAGGATGCCAGTGCCCCGGTTCATGCTTTATACTTTTAATTTGTTAGGTACCCTTGTTATAAGAACCAGACCGTATCTGTGGAGCAGTAAAATCGTGGAATCAATACAATAATAGTTCGGTTCATTTGATTGGACGGTCGAGATGAATCAAACGATTATTTTATGGTAGAACATGGAACCAGATGAACCATCCTTGCTTGATTGGTCTAATAACTCACTCTGTTAACCACAACATAAAATACCTTACTTCTAACGTTTCCGGCACAACCTCAAATACGATTTTACGAATCCAGGTAAGAAAAATATGGAGGAAAGAGCATTTGAGCAAGGGAAGTGGAGGAATCCAGGTAAGAAAAATATGGCTTTCATGGAGAGTTCAATGATCCTGCAATTCCTGGGAATTGAATTGACTCTATTAATCAGTGCCCATTATGAGACTAGAGCTCAGGCATCAGAAAATCCTTAGCATCAATTGATGATTAACACACTGCAGTAAGACTGCTGAAACATTTTAGATTCTGGTGATTCGCATACTGTAGTCGCATCTCAGAAATCATCATAGGCCACAAACTACTCAGACAATTCAAGAACCATGCATAGAAAAGCCACAAATCATGACTCTTTTGCTTGACCAATTTCTTCAACTCCGAAAATCTCAATTCCAACTTCTCACTCTGACCAAAAAGTGCATGTTTTTACAGCGTTGTAAACAAGGAACAATATCCCCTCAGAAAGCAAAACAGGAAGATCTAACACCAAAAAAAAAAGGGGGGCCAAGTACAAAATTTACAGAAGATGTTTCAGATAATGTAAGATGGGATGACCACGAAAACTTTGGACGAAAGGAGCACTAGGGTATAAAAATCAATCAGATCCTCCAAAGTTACTACTTAAAACGCACATCTGACAAACAGTTGGACACTATAGAAGTAAATCAGGAACTGGTGTCTGTGAAATAACATTGGCAGGAGGATTTTGAACTCCCTCTCGTGTTCTATGCTTACCATGTCGATGTCTTCTCTTCTGCTTTCCCTTATCCCCACCATGGTCCCCCTCATCAGCATTCTGCTTCCTCGAACTTCTCTTACTTCGCTCTTTAACAGGATTCTGGACCGTTCCACTTTGCGAATCCATATGATCCAAATCATCTTCTTGTTCCTTAGCATTCAGTTTCTCTTTGCCTTTCTTCCTAATAACTGAATCAGCAGCAGCTTTCTGCGTCAATGTGTCAGCATCAGCTTCATTACCTAAAAGAACATCTCTAACAGCTTCCGAAAGCGAATCGTCTTTCGCCTGTGGTATCTTAGAAGAGATGGGCAGCACGTCTCCTTCATCCAACTTCACTACAACTGGCCTGGCCTTCACTTGCTTCGACTTTCTCTTTGGTAGAAAAGACTGTTCAGCAAGCTTAGCGAGATCCTGAGCATCATTACTTACGGTAACACCTGATTTCAGTTCATTGGCAGGTGGATAGTCATTGTTTGCTTCATGATGTTCAGTATTCTTCTCCGAAGGCAGATAGTATAATCCATGTCTCTTACGGTGTTCAGCAAGCAATGAAGTGGATTCGGATGACGGCTCTGATTCTTCTTTCTGGTCAGAGATAAAGATACTAGTAGCACCTTCCACGTTGTGAGAGCCCTCAAAAGAAATTGTTGCACTTGATGCAGGTAAGCTACTTCCACATACGGCTTCCAAATCAGCAAGATTCTCATGGAGCACTAGTCCATCCGGGACAGGAACTCTCCCCTGAGCACTCATTGAGACGGGTCCAAGCTCATCAGAGAATGTATCATGTAATAATCTAACCATTTTTGAAGCTTCAACTTGCTGTTTATGTCTTTCATCTTGTGGATGTAAGGAATCAGATAGTACTGGCTTTATTAACTCTGTGAAACCAAGTATGTTCCGGGCCCTTTCCTGTATTTCCACATCATAGCTGCCTGATAGTGGACCCACAGCCATGTCGATCAAGTTTAACAGGTGAAGAACAGAGTCGGGGGTGATGTGGTTTTCCTGTATAAGAGTTGTTCCAGATGCCTCACCATTTTCCCCATGTGCACCAGAAAATTCATCATATGACTGACTTGACACTCCAGGGTCTGATAATCCCAGAGCTGAATGATCACTACTGGTAGCACTCTTTAGATAAGAATGAAGACAAAACACTAGTGCTTTAAAAGCAGACTCCAGATACACAGCTCTCACTGATGGAGGTAAGAGACTCGTCCGGGGCTGCAACAATGACTCCATGAGTTCAACAGGGTTTCTGATGAATTCCACATATTCCCCGCACAGCCAAGCAGCAGCAGATAAGATCCTGTGCAAGAAAGGATTACCAAGTAAAGCAGGATCCATTAAGAGATCACGGCCAACACGGACAAGCTCTGGTCTAACATCCTGGACCCTCATGCCAATGTCAATAAGCTGATTCTCAATTTCTTCACCTTTCTGGCAATGTTGGATTCTCGACATTTCGCCTAGAAGTGACACATACCAGTCAAAATCAACTATGATCTCATACACATTATTGGAACATGTGGACAAAATTGAGCCAAGAATCACATTGCAGAACTCTGGCTCGGATTTAGTAGCGTAGTTGACCAAAACCCGACAGATCTCAACCACGTTGCTCTCGGACACCATTTCCATAACTAGGCGCAAAGATTCAAGCTTTATGTTGGGATCCGGATCGCTTAAAGATTTGATCACGAATTCCTTGTTCTCCAACACCGCCCAAATATGCTTGGGGGCAACTATGGCCAAAGCATGCAATCCAAGATACCTGAGATTCGGATCCTCGTCAATCAATAGCTCATTAATTCTTCCAGCTGCAAGCTTTACTGCAGATTCATGCTCTGCCAAGCTAGTCAAGATGGTCCTGATACACTCGAACATCAAAGATTTAGCTCCAGTCTTGCTCATCAGCTCACAAATCGGTTCGACTATTTTTTTAGCCAACCTCGGCTCGAGAGGAGCCAGCTTAGTGAATATCTTCAACACTTTGATCAAGACCCAATTGTTCCTGGAATCAACCAATATCTTATAAAACTCAGGTGCCAAGGGAAGATACGCCTTGGGGTCTTTCGAAGCAAGTTCACAGAACACACCAATAACTGCAGACACAATCGGTGGAGAGTCACTGCTCTCCAAACTCTCAACCAACCTCTTAAAACACACCCTAACTGCATCTGGGTATTTCCCAAACAGCCTCAAAACGACACCTATCGCTTTCTTCCTAACAGGAATCCTAGAGCTGGCCATCAAGGTGAAAACTTCAGGGGTAAGATCGCGACACAGATCAAGGTTCCCAATTCTGGAGAGGCATTCTAGGGCTAAACTCACCTCGACCTCCACGTTGCTCTTCAGATCCTTGCGCAATTGGTTGGATATCAGCAAAATCACAGGGGTGGATTCCTGAAACGACTGGGAGATGGCGAGGTAACCAACCTTCTTGTGGGTGAAATTCGGGTAGGAAATGCATTCGATGGCGTGGAAAGCAGCCCAGGACATGTCCACGAAACAAATGGAGTGGAGATAAGTGAGCTTCTGGAGGGCAGTCGATTTGGTGTGGGAGTCGGTCGATTTGATCTCCCGGCGAACTTCTTCGAGGACCTTGGACACGAAGGCTGACTCCCCAGCTTGTTGGTGGCGCAGGCCCTTGATGATGTCGTCGAGACTGCGCTGGAAGAGCGAGTCCATCAGTGAAGGAGAAGAAGACGACGCCATTGGAGATTGGTTGGAGACGAGATTCTTCCGGTCTGGGAATTTTTGTGTTGATTTGATTGGGGTTTCTTTAGGTGAATCGGGAGTCGAATTCAACCATGGCTAAGCAATAGAACGGAGTTCGTCAGTAAACGTTTTTTTTTTTCCCTTTCCTTTTTACGGTATTAGTTCACTGAGGACGAAGAAGCTTTCGAATGTGTCGTTTGGGTTGGGCCACAGCTTTCAAACCGATCCATTTTCTTCAACGGACCCTGACTATGAGCCCATGGACAGCTAGAACGGGCAAATAACGTTATCGGATCGAATTGGGCTTTGACAATTATTTTTCGTCAACAATTGTTTGTAAACCTTACTAGCTTTGAGCCCGGTGAATTCAATTTTTTTTTAACATTAATAAATTTCATGATAACATTTCAATTATTTTTAGTGTTGTCATTCTATAATTTTTTATAATGGTGTCATTAGAAATCTTGTCAAAATATTATTATATTTCAACATTCGTACGATTTGTTATGCAACTTGTGATAATGAACTTTTTTTTTATATGTAGGCATCAAAATAATTTTATTTATCTTTTGTTCCAATTATATCAATTGTATTTGGATACTCACATTACAATATTTTGCACAGTTATTTCATTTATACTCATTCACGTGATGATAGTTGACATGCTAATGTTGAAAGGGTAAATGAGGTCCTGGAAATTTATATTACGTACATGTTTTTTTTTTTTTTTGGCATGGTGGAATTGTTTATTTGATTTCCCGGCATAAAAAATCACATAGGACTCCAATTTAGGCGAAATGGTGAGGACTCATGTATTGGATCCATGAGAGGGTTGGATGTAGGGTTGGTAAATGGTTATCCCATTAATAGTGTAACCGATAACCGAATCGGAATCGATGCTTTATACCAATAACTGATTAAATAGTAAACTGTCAGTTCTCGATAGCCAAATTTAACTAATAACTCACTGATGGTTAAACAGTTAATAATTGACGGTTAAACGGTTATAGCAAAAAATTATAGACCTCTGTGAGCTGCAAACATAGGCCAAAAATAGTGGGGTATTTGAAGGCTTACAAGACCCCTTGCCTATCCTAGTTGTAATAGTGACTTAGACTTAAATGAGAATAATTTAAACGAAAAGTTTTAGAAGGAGCACATTAGAATGTCAGACTTGCACACAGTTGCTCGACAACAATCAGTAACATTAAACTTCCATGTAATTGTTGTTTGGTCTCTTGTCGTTTTATGCTGCTTTAATTTAATTTGGCGGGGTTTACGATTTAAAGCATTTTAAGATACTTTATAGACAGATATCTCATATCGAACTTCATAAGCCCCAATCTAACGACCTTTGATGATTGCGTAATTTGTATGTGTCATTCAGTATTTTGTTTGGTATTTGACTATAAATCATCTAAACAAATACTTAAACAACTTCAAATATGCTTATAACGTATTGAAAACACGAGAAAGACAAAATGACTATTCGAAAAATCGATACGATTTATGTAAGTATGTAACCCCCAGTCCCCACGGCACTTCCCTCGATCGTTTTATACATAACACCTTCCAGTTCTTATATCATATTCATCGTCAATCATTTTCGGTCAATATCTATAACAACCAGTTAGCGTACAATGCGTGCTGCCTAGCTTCTCCAAGCCAAGTCGCCATTATTCCGACGATACATAAATTTTATAAGGTGAATTGAAGAATCCACACCCGCAGTTAAAGCTTCAATTTTTTTTCTTCTTTGGATCATCACAATGAAGAAGTACGACGCATTGCGGGCCAGGAGGTTGATGAAGTACGAACAGACCAAATGGAGGATAACCTGGTCAATGATCACTGGCTTCTTCGTTTGCGTCAGATTCTCTCAATACGGTATTATATTCTTCCATTTCGCTATAACCATGTGCTGTGCATTCATGCATGCGCGTTGTTGATATGACTTGAATCGGATTATATGCATGTCGTCGATCTTACTTTGTGTATGCTGCATGTTGGTCTGGATGCAGTTGATCAGATCGGACCTCTAGGAGTTGTTGATGTGAGCAAGACCAGCGAGTCATGTAGCGTATCCTCAAATTACTCTTCAAATTAACTTTGAGGTTTATTTTGGCATATAATTAAAGGGAGCGTTTTGGGTAGAGGAATGACTGACTGACACAGTTTCCCTTTGGGATGATGATCGATAACCCGTGCAGACACAGAAATCATAAACATTGTCGCAACCGCGGAAGATTATACAAGCAACTCCACTCAGCTAACGCCAAAAGCTGATCAGAATCATTCTTACAGAAAAACACAAGGTAAGGAAGGTGAGGGCCGGGCTCGTCTCAACTCTCAAATTGTTCTAAGTAAAAATTGTTCTAAAATAATGAAGGCAATAATCATTAGAGCAATGCAGTTAATGTCGGGATTTTACCATAAAATAAAAAAAGTGAGGTAAAATTGTAATGAAGTGGTTAAGTACCATACATGGGTCTGCATAAGATCCAGCATAATCTTCTCCCAACAACTCGAGTTATTGGGACCAACTGGTTTATGACATGGTATCAGAACGGGTTTGACATTGAGGTCACGTGTTCAAATCCTCACGACCCCCAATATTAACTGTTGTCTTTCAAGCACATGGTATGTCGGGCCTGTGCAAACTTTCAAGCCCATGAGTCGGCTTTCGTTTGAGGGGGACGTATAATGAAGAACGACTCGAGTCATTGAGATCGACCAACTGGTTTGTGACAAAAATATGAATCGAAGAATTATAGGATTTTAAAAATCCATATAAAAACAAATGCTAAATAATATTAGTAAGACAAATGATGAATAATATATAGTAAGACACATAATATTAGTGCTTCTAACCTCTCTCAGAAAACTCAACCGGTAATGAAGCCCGTGTTGACGCGAGGAGCTCCCAACAGCAAACCATTCTGCAGGAAAGTCAACGGCAACAGCCACGAGATCAATCCCGGCAGCAAGGCATTCTGGAGGACAGTCAACGGCCACAGCCAGAAGAATCCCGGCAGCAAATGATTCTGCGGGAAAGTCAACCACTACTGCAAGAAGAATCCGTGAAACGGGAGACTGAAACGACGAGGATCGATGACAGAATCAGTAGCATCTCTACTGCGGAAATCAGCACGACCAGCGGCAACGGTACAACATGCATGCATGCATAATTTAACATCAAGCCCCAAAGTCAACTCATGACGTTTCCTTAATACGATGTGTTTGCTTTTTATCATCTGAAATTATCAGAGAAAGATGGAAGAATCGGAATGGAATCGGTGGAGGAGACTCGGCCGCCACTTGCAAACGGTACCAGCAATTCTGAGCCTTTGAAGGAGGAGGAAGGTAAGATTTAAATGAGAAATTCATACATTGAATTGAACTAAATGTGAAGCATGCATGTCGTAATGGAAGTTACATCGTAAAAATTAGTAGTAGAGTATTTTGTACTAAAATCGTTATTGAACTTTGGTTCAACCGTTTCGTACCATTAAAACTGTTCACCGTTTGAGGCATATGTAGGTTATTTGCACCATCTTGACCAAAATTGTAATGGTAATTCATTTTAATGTAATTATAGATTTAATACAAGATCTCCTTATTATTATAAAAAAAAAATTTACGAAAAAACAATGTTTTTGTGATCTCTATTTAGCTTCTAATTCACATATTCCGTAACTCAGTTTAACATAAACATTAATATATCAAAATTTAGGAGCATTTGGTTGTTATCAGTTGCCATCAAAAGTGTTAAAAGAGCACCAAACGACCCATTCATAATCATTTTAGTGATGAAATTATAGATAATTTTCGATGAAGTTTTTTTAACATTCTTCGTAATTTGCATGATGAATATATTTTAGAAAATTTTCAAAAATATGAAAACACTTCCCTCAACATTTTTTACATTGGACCTACGTTAAATAAATTTCTTACTACGTCACTCATTTGAGATCCGATATCCAATATTTTCGATCAATCACGACCGCTACTGTAGGCTTTCTAAAATATTGGTCTCACCTCTAACATTTTCCTTTCCGCCACGTACGTAGCAGAGCTTGTTACGGCCAAACAGAAGGAAACAGCAACTCCGCCGCCGGCGGTATGCACCACCGGCGGTCGGTCAGACTTCTGCGACTTACGAGGAGACATCAGGGTCGACCCAAGCTCATGGACCGTTTACTACGTCGCCACGTCAGAGAATGATACGATCCACCTGTCACCAGAAAACGGCAACACGTCGTCGTTCAGCGTCAGGCCCTACGCGAGAAACGACGATCCCTACGCAATGGCGACCGTAAGAGAATGGTCGCTAAAAATGGTGCCGCCGAGCGACCCGGAGCTGCCGTTCTGCTACGAAATTCACGACGCCGCCGGCGTGATCTTCTCCCTTGCTGGGTACGCCGGACACCGGTTTCACCTCTTCACCGACGTCCTCGTGCCTCTTTTCGCCACCGCTCGGCCCTTCGACGGGGAAGTTGAGCTTTTGGCGACGGACTATCAGTCGTGGCTGGTGCCCTTGCTCAAACCAATAACGGGAGCATTATCCAGGTACGAATTTCTTCTTCTTCTTCTTTTTTTCTAATTCTTTGATTGAGTCGTGATTTGGGTTAATTGGTTTTATCATGTCATGATTTTCAGAATAAAATTGTGGTGCTTTAAAGTTTTATGTGATGATCTGCTATTGATAAGAGAGCTGTATTAGAAGAATTTGTACAGTGAGAAGTCGGTTTGTTTTCTGTGTACTCACTTTTTTTTTTTGGGTGTACAGTATCTTATAATCGTCATTCTAAGCAGATAATTTATGTCAAAAGAATGTTAATCGTCACTTTGTAATATAATGGACAAGAAAACACATGAATTTGAATAAAAATCATTCAAGATGTATTTACTTTGTTTTGAAGGTTGGGATTTGCAATTTGAGGTTTAGGGTTAAAAGTTTTTTTTTCTCTCTCAATAGATTGTAAATCGGTAGGCGAGAGTACAAGAGATTAAAACGTAACGCGGCAGTCAATACTAATCGACATGCCGATAAAATAGTATTTTTTGCCCACGTAATGGGCAGCTCCGTTAGTTGCCTAAAAATAAAGCGAAAGACACTAAAAAAAAACCATTAAAAAACGGATATAAGCTTCACTGCGTGAATGCCGAACCGATGAAAGAGCATTTTTAGGGTTAAGGTTCAAAATTTAAAGTTTTGACACTTAGCATAATGTATGTTATTAGTCGCGATTCTATATTAAGTCGTCATTGTGAGTGCACTGTAGAAGCCATCATAATCCGATATCCTTGGAAATGGATATCGGATTATTCATCCATAATATCCTTGGGAAATCATTTTCAGGTACGAAGTGATCGACATCGACAAAGAACGGCAGGGCGAAAAAACACACTGCTTCTCAACCCTAACCCTAGGCCTAAAAGGTCGCCACCTCAAAGAACTCAGCATCAACCCACTCCAATCTCCATACAAAATCAAAGACTTCATCCATCTCTTAAGAACCGTCTACTCCCTAAACAAAACAACAACCAAACCCCAATCACCGGGAGACAACAACAAATCACCTGCAGCAGTTCCCCGACTTCTCATCTTCTCTCGAAAGACCGTCCGCACGTTCACCAACCTCCGCGACATCGCGAGGATGGCGACGGGCCTCGGGTTCCGCGTCACGGTCGCGGAACCAGCCGCCATGCAGGATCTCGCCACGTCGGCGCGCGCCGTGCACTCGTGCGACGTCGTGTTGGGAGTCCACGGGTCCGACCTGACGAACGTGGTTTTCCTCCCGGACGGCGCCGTTTTCGTCCAGGTCGTGCCCATGGCGCTGGAGTGGTGCGCGAGGACGTTCTACGAGGAGCCGTCGGCGGACATGGGCGTGAGGTACCTGGAGTACAGGATCGCGAGGGAGGAGAGCAGCTTGGCCGGGGAGTACGCGGAGGACGACGCCGTTTTCGCCGACCCGGCGTCGTTTGAGAGGAAGGGGTGGGGGGTGTTCAAGTCGATTTACTTGGATCGCCAGAACGTGACGATCGACACGCGGAGGTTTCGGCCGACGCTGCTCAAGGCGCTGGCCATGTTCTCGCAGCCGAACCGGACGTTCAATTGGTGAGGAAGGATGCGCTTGCATCGAATTCATGTAGGAACATGAATTATGCAAATCATTATGATGGTGTAATTATCATAATTGTGTAGTACTATATATATATATATATATATATATATATATATATATATATATATATATATATATATATATATGTAGCATACATGTATGAAAGTTGTGTACCCATTCAATGATAGTTTTATTTTGTGTTATAATGTGATAGAAACGTAACAGTATATTAAATACTAGCGTGGGCCCGACCATTTGGTCGGAGGAAGGTGAGGTATGAAATTTGATAATGTAATGAGGTGTATAGCTTATTGTTGTATAGTTTTTTTTTGGAAAACACGTGATAAAAATAATGAATTTTAGTAGGAAAGAGACATGAATGATGCAACGAATCAAAAATCAGCCTTATGAACCAAAATCAAGTACCTGTTACCTTGTGAACAATATTGTTTCTGGTAATATGATGAGGTAGAGACAGTTTTATAGAAACCGAATTCCAGAAAATTGAATAAAAAATCGCCTATCTTGCCGGTTTTCGGGAAATGAGCATCTCACAATCGTTGCTAGCTTTTACTCGGGCCGTTGGCCGATTAATTTGCTTTATAAAACTTTCATCTTCTCATCATTGTGTTTTCTGGTTTTTTGCCAAGCCATGATAAAATCTAAAAAAATCAAGAATGAACAACACGATTTGGAATAATAACCACCGTTCTTGTATCCTTAGAAAATGGTGGTAAAAACGGACTCACCTGTCAAACTGGTTTGGATTGAGATTTGTATCGGGTATCAGGGAACCATGTGATTATAAATTAGACTTGATTAAAACGGGCCAAAACTTGAAATTCAACCTGTTTGACCGACCCATGCCAAACTCTAATTATTCTTTACTTTTAAACAATCTATTTGAAATAAAAAATAATGAAAGAAAAGAGATGACTGCAATTCGCCTTTTTTTTTCTTTTTCCGTTGAATCAGTTCAATTCGCCATTTGCACATCACTGATTCGGGAATAAGACTATAGAATTCGAAAGGAAACTGAAAAGGTTTAGGATCGTTTTAATGTTAAAAATAACCAAATAGATCTTTCTGTTTAGTTTTTTACTAACAAATACCAAATGATTCCCTATAATATACACTATAACTTAATCATTATGATATCAAATAATTACATAATATATATTTGAAATGATAAAATTGGACTAATTGGGTTGGTCGAGGTTGAACCGTTGAATAACTTTAAAATACATTATATTTTAACCACTAAGATATAAAATAACAGCATAATATATATTATGCTAGAGAAAATAGCTTGTTTTAGAATGACAAACCCATGATGTTCATTTGTTTTACTTGATGGGCAAATCCCGTGTAGGCCAGACTCATTCAACTCTTTTATTTTATGATTAGCGGTTAGCCCATTAGAATTCATGCATTAGTTTATTGTTAAATTTTTTTTCTTTTTAGCAATAAAAAGAGTATTGTTTTTGCCTTTTCATATATAGTTTACCACCACGGAGAAATAAAAGGACTTAAAGAAAAAAAATTGACACTCCTGGACCCGTTTAATCCGCATGTGTACGGTAAGTTGGCCCGTTCCACAGAGGTAAAGGAAAAAAAATTGACACTCCCTACTCTACCCTTCCTACAAACGCTCCTGGAGTAGGGAATTTGAAATGGGGGAAGAGTTTTTTCTCTCTGCGATTATATGTTTTTAATTTCAAAAGATACAATAAATGTACTTAGTGTGATTGGTTATGATCTTTGCTTTTCTTAAAAGTGGTCATGGTTCGAATCCTAGTAAGTGTCATTTTTTAATGAATAAAAAAAAGTAATTGTGAAGACCATAATGTCCTTCCTACTTTCACTCTGGATGCAGGAAATTTGAAATGGGGCTTCAAGTTTTTTCATTTGGCTTTTATTTATTGTGTAGATTAACCCATCGTCACTTGCAAAATGGGAGTCACATTCACCTCTTCGTTGCAAAAAGCCTCTTGTTCGGCCAGTGCATAACCGGACCGTATAGCCACCCCTAATGCAAAATATGCTGGAAATCAATAATGCAGAATGAACAAGACGCGAGTTAACGTGGTATATCCCTCAACGACTTGATTCGTAGGAAGGAAAATTCGGACTACCTAGCCTGCGCTCTGCACTGCCTTATACGGGTTAGCCGACTAAAGATGATCAACACAGAAACCAAACTAAACAAGATTTTTCTCCCGAGACAACACATGATAATACAAATTTTATTGCTTTGATTCTTTCGTCGAGGTTAAACCAAAATCTCTCTCTCTCTCTCTTGGAACATAAGGATCTATAATGGTATCTTTGGCGTTGGTGCTATGGGTGAGAATACCATTCACAGATTGAATGATGGAGATGAGTTATATGTATCGATTGAGGGCTGAATTTGCCATTGACAGGCTAGGTTAATGTCATCAAATGTTCAAATCTTAAGTTTGTTCAGTAATATATTTATATAAGATAGAAAAATAAGTTGAAGATTACTCCAATATAATCATTGCATTATGATAATTTGAATCTTCTACGTGTTGTCACCATGTAGGGGTGGCTAAACGGTCCGGTCCGGTTAAATTGACACAAATTGATTTGATTGGATACAAAGATTAGATTGGATACAGTCCGGTCTTGACCCGGTCCGGTCCCAATTCGATCTTGATTTTATATTGAGCTTGTGGGGATTTGAGTGGCCTAAGGCCTGAAAGGGTGAGGGGTTGGTTAAGTTTTGTACTAAGTGCAAAGGTTTGTGACCGTTTATGCAAATTACTCTTAAGTTTTGGGTGTTGAGTAGAGGTGGCAATTGGATCGGATTCGTGGATTCGTGGATTGGATTCGTGGATCCATGGATCAAATGGATTGGATCCGATGGATTGGTGGATTCATGGATTGGATCCAATGGATTGGTGGATTGATCCATGAATCCAAATAACATCCAAAGCTTGGACCAAAATGTAAATTTTGAAAAGTTTAGGTACTAAAATGTCATAATGAAAAATTTTAGGTACCAAAATGTAATTTTCCAATGATATTTTTCATATAAAAATATAAATTTTAGGTACCAAAATGTAAAATATAAAAAATATAGGTACCAAATTGTAATTTTCCATTTGTATACATGGATGGATCCATGAATCCACCAATCCAATTGGATTTGGATCAAATGGATTGGATTTAAATGGATTGGATTAGGTGGATAATTTGGTGGATGGATTGGATTGGATTCATGGATTTGGATCCTAATTGCCACCTCTAGTGTTGAGCTCTCTTATCCGGTCTTTATCCAGTTTTCGATCCGATCCCTCAAATCTAAACCCAAAGATTGGATTGGATTGTTTATTATCCAGTCTCGATCCGGGTTATACGGTCCGGTTTCGGGTAAAACCGAAAAACCCAGACCAAATAGCCAGCCCTAATCACCAGATTGAAGGAAATAAGTTGAAGATTGACTTCAATATTACAATTTCAAAAACTGAAAACTGTTGAACAATAAAAATCAGATGACCGTGAACACTGAATATGATCTTCAACATTGAGTATGATCTTCAACTTACCCGTATTGTTTGATATTATCATTGATCCTGACCAAACTCACAATAAATAGTGATCCCTTATGAAACAAAGTTCATATAATACATAAATATGAAAGAAAAAACAATAACCCTAAGTGGGCAGAAAACTGGTTACTATTATATAATCCAATTAAAAAGACGGTTGCTCTATCTATATCTCTTCACACCTTTCGGTTTGGTCGTTCAAACATCTATCACCTTTACGTGACAGTAATTAATTTCAGTATAGTAGAGAATGCGTCTTGGCCTCCTTCAAGTCTTCAACCCAGCCAGCTTTCCCAAGTGACATTTGCGTGAGATATAAAAAATGGAGAAGCAATACTCCAATTTGATGAAAGATGAAGAAGAAGAACATCAACAACAGCAGTGGCTCGATGGGCAGACGGTGGAGCAAACGTGAAAAGAAGATGCTGCGAACCGGTGCAGCATTGTTCACGATCCTCCTCATTCTTGCTAGCTTCATCATTTGCTCGTCGCTGCACCGACGACATGGTACGTAACTCTTATATCATCCCAAGATGTGTGAGTTTGTTCACCAAAATTACTGGTGGTGTTCGGATAGAAGGATTTAGATTTTGCTATTTGGTATTTGGATTTTCCAAGTACTGAATCATATGTTTGGTAAGGGTGCGTTTGGATAAGTGGATTTTAAATGTAAGGTATTTGAAATATTAGCATTTGAAATGGATGTATTCGAAATATTAGCATTTGAAATACATGTAATTCAAATTCATTGTTTGGATACTCATTTGTAATTTGTTTGTATTTTGTATTTTGTGATTTTCAATTTCAATTTTTAATTTTCTGGTCACTTACTACAAATTTTGGTAAATTACAGTTTGGTACCCAAAATTATTTTTTCTTACAATTTAGTACCTAAACTTTTAAATTTTTACAAAAAGGTCCTGAAATTTTGATGGTAAAATTACATTTTGGTACCTTTATATGTTTGACCTCACACTATAGTACCTAAACTTTTCATATTTTACAAATAGGTCCATTCTTTTGTTAGGAGGTATTTCAAATCACTAGTTGTTGAAATGTATTTGAAGTTGACAAAAAATACACTAGACATGTATTTGGAAATCACCCCATGAATTTGACACAAATCCAAATACCAAATGTAATTAATATCCAAACACATGATTTGGTATTTGGAAATCCAAATCACAAATACTAAATCCAAATCATTGTATCCAAACGCACCCTAACTGTATTTAGATTTGTGACAAATTTATGGGGTGAATAGTAAATTTCAAATACATATCAACAACTAGTGATTTGAAATTCTTCAAAAGCAACAGATAGGACCTGTTTGTAAAATTTTGAAACTTCGGATACGTACTATAGTGTAAGACAAACAAATAAGGGTCGTTTGACTTTGAATAGATCAATTAAGTTCAGGGTACTATAGTGTAAGACAAACAAATAAGGGTCGTTTGAATAGATCAATTGGGAAACGAGACAATTGACCAATCGTTTTATTTTACAAAACAAATCATTTAAAATGAGTCAATTCGAATTACCTGCCCCCATCCCAGACCCAGATAATTATTGTAATTGTCTCTAACCGAGTCAATTAGAATTCTCAAGTCCAAATTACTCCATCCAAATTTATTGCTGCCAAATGAGTCAAATTTGACACAATTGTCTCAAAATGAGACAATGGAGTCAATTGATCTGTTAGAATTCATCATCTAGAGGACCCCAAAAGATACTAGAATACTTTGGACCGTTCGAAAAAAATAAATAAAGTTCAGTGTAAAAACAATAATTCAAATTAAAAATTATAAAATCCTTATTTGAATTCATAATCATATCTCACTGATTTGCTATCAGGAGCTGCACCGAAGCAGCCCAAAATAGTCCGGCCGGCGGAGTGCACATTCGGCGGGAGATCGGATTTCTGCGAAATAGAAGGCGATCTCCGAATAGACCCCGATTCAGCAACTATTTACCAAGTCGTCCAGTCGGAGACGTACGCAATGCTCGCCGCGGGAAACAAGATCAGGTCGCCGCCGATCACCATCAAGCCGTACCCGCGAAACGGCGACGACGTCGCCATGGGACAGATAAGAGAGTGGTCGGTGAAAATGGTGGCTGAAAACCACCAGAACTTGCCGCGATGTTCCGGCGGTGATCAAATTCACGATGCTCCGGCTGGAGTTCTCTTCTCCGCCGGAGCCTATTTTGGGAACTATTTCCACGCATTCACCGACGTTTTGGTCGCGCTCTTTGTCACCGCACATCCGTTCAACCGAGAAGTCGTGCTTCTCGTCACCGACGGGAAACCAGTGCACGTCGACAAATTTAAGACTCTGTTTAACGGACTGTCCAGGTATGATTTTCCTCCCTTTTTCTTTATCCTCTCTTTTTCTACATTGATTGTACAATTCTCTAGATGCCTGATTGATGATGATTAGCATTGCCAATGTCTTGACTGCGATCCGTTTTATCTGACTTGTTTTGGACAAATCATACTCATGCGGTAGGCAATAACATATATAAGTACTTTCTTCGATTTCATCTGTCCTGACTCGTTCCATTTTCGATCCATTTTTTTTTCTTCAAAATTACATATAATTTTACTCGAATTTATTTAAGATTTTACTTTTGTTACCTCGTATTTTAACTATAATGATGTTGTAAACAGTCAGAACCTCAATTTCTCGAATAATTTGATTACATTTGTCATATTATAGTTTGTTTCTCGTTTTTTATAATGAAAAAAAATAAATAATATTTTCTTTTAAATTACCTACTCATATGAGTTAACACCTACTCTACTCCGTGCCCCCATAATAAATTACCCGACCTGCCCGAATTGAGTATAAATATCGAGATATTTCCCTTAGACCATATGCTCTCTTTTTGCAAGATTCATCACGTAGAAATTACGAGAAAATCAGATTAGCTAAAAACCTCGAAACAAAGGATTGATGTCGCCGAATTCTTACAATTGAGCAAAAGATATTCTTGATAGTTTCGACGACTGACCACCAGAATATGACTCCAATGGAATTCGAATTCAGGTATCCGACGATCGACATTGACAAGGCCGGACGACCGGCCGGAAACCCCCGATGCTTCTCGAGACTCACGATCGGCCTCAAAGGCCGCGACGGCAAAGAACTCAGCATCAACTCGGAGCAATCCGAATACACGATGGCCGACTTCAAGCGGTTCCTAAGAAGCGCATACTCTCTCAAAAGAACAACGGCGGTAAAGCTACAAACCGGAGACAACACTCTAATCCCCCGACTCCTGATAATATCTCGCGAGAAGACTCGAATCGTCACGAACGTGGGAGAGATCGAGAATCTCGCCCGAGAAATCGGGTACCGAGTTACCGTCGGGGAGCTCGACGACGACGTTTCGAAAACGGCGGAGTTCACGAACGGTTTCGACGTGATGATGGGAGTTCACGGCGCCGGGCTCACCAACATGGTCTTTCTTCCCGAGGATGCGGTGGTGATCCAGGTGGTTCCGTTCGCCGCGGACTGGGTTTCCGGCGCGTATTTCGGGGAGCCGGCGGAGAAGATGGGGCTGAGGTATTTGGAGTACAAGATCGGGAGGGAAGAGAGCAGCTTGATGAGGCAGTACCCGCCGGACGACGTCGTGTTCACCGATCCGGCGTCGTTCCGGTGGGAGGAGTTCAGCCCGATTTACTTGCAGAACCAGAACGTGACGGTCGATGTTACGAGATTCAAGCCGTTGTTGGTGAAAGGTTTGGAGCTTTTGCATGAGTGATTTTATTTCGGTTTAACTTTGAATTGGTTGCTGAATAAGTTATTGCATAGCGAATATTTATCCTAATTGAAATATTTTGTAAGGATGGTGTTTTGGATCCTAGACTACTTTAATATGATTTTGGTTATCAATTTATTGTTAAATCTAATCGGTGATGGGCGAAACTGGAATACATCCAGACGGAAACAAAAGGATCGATTTACATATTTTTTTCTCATTTAGGACGAATGAGACTAGTCCATGCATAAAGCAAACAATGTTGTCTTATTCAACTTGTGTTTCGCCCGGTTAATATAAAAGGTACATATAGGAGCGAGATTAGGTGATTAAGTATATCTCAACTCTTCATTTAAATTATATAGTGAAGGGTAATGATTTCAATTAAAAAATTATGGCTTTGTTTTGGGGAAATCTGCGCATTTCGCTCCTCCATTCCCAACAGAAGCTCCTTACGAGGAGGCGGGCATAATCGTTTTGTATTATTAGTTGTAAGTTTTTGTATCGTATAGTCAGATCTAAGGGCTAAGAAAGATTTAGTCATTTGACTAAGGACCCTCTTAATCACAAGATTTGCACCCCGTGTAGTAGGTTTAAACCGGGGTTCTGACCGAACCTCATGAAGGCAATGCTAGGTCAAAGATGAATTCTTAGAGCTCATAATGGCCTTGACCCGATTCTTGATGAGTATTCTTTTTTGAAGAAAGAAAATGTTCATTAGGAATGCTACTAGAGGGGTTGAGGAAAGAAAAACAAGCATCATCCCTGTGATTCAAATCTGAGGAGTCTAGCTTGAAAATCAACGACACGACTACTCAGCCATGATACATATTCATGCAAATTAAAATTTACTGGACAATATCAATAATTTTTTTTTCTTTTCTTCTTACAATACAATTACAAATTAAACTGCATGTCAATTGTCAAGAGATACCAGCCGACACAGATAGTAGTACCGACTTGACACAAAATAAAGTATCAACTAGTGTTGAATACAGCCAGCCAAGAGAGGTTGTGTATTATAGAGAAACCCAAACTTTAGTTTTATAATAATAATCCGGTAGTAGTTCAGCAATCGTGGAGCTATCTACGATTTAATATATATACAATTTGTGTTTTTTTTTATTTTAAAAGGACACGAAATTGTCATCAAGAAGAAATTAATATATAAATATTTAGATACTGTGCTGTCATCAGCGTATATTAATCATGCATCCCACCGGACAATTGGAGCCCAGAGAAAAAGAGTGAACGATTTGTTAAAATGTCACCATCTATTTTCACCAAACCAAACTCATCACATTTGGACACAGAAATTGGGTGGTGCATAATTCAGTAGGTTATTTGTTAGCATGTCAGCACCACCTCTTTCTTTCTTTCTTTCGGACCGGACACTACAGTTGTGAGTTGACTATGGATGATTTTCATATCACCGAGTAAGAAGCTACGGGTTCATTTGGAAGTTGTGATTGTTAAATAGATGTATTGTTGAGAATGCATGTATAATATTATACATGCATGTATTGTCGAATTTGATGCATTGTAGAATACAACGTTTGGTATGTGTGATTGTGTATGTCGCATCAGCTAAAAGCTGAGACAAAACAATCTCAACTCAACTATCTCAACAATCACAACTAAAAGTTGAGATATAACAATCACTCAAAATGAGTGATAGTTTCTGTCACATCACAGAAACAATCCTTGTATTGTTTCTGCTCAAAAAACAAAAAAACGATGCATTGTAAACAATACATGCATAATGACAATCTCAACAAAACTATCGCAACTTCCAAACGACCCCTACATGTATAAATCGAATATGCATGTTGTTGTCTATGATTTTTGTACTTTCATGATTGATCTGACAAGAAAATGCACATAGAAGATTAGTTAGTTTTAGGCAAAATACACTTGTATAGCCATAACTTTCACACTTTTGACAAATATAGCCATTACTATTCGAAAACCACAAATAGCCTAAAAATTGGATGGTATGTGATAAATCTAGCCATTTTTGTTAGAAACTTTGACGGTGTTAGAAACTCCGTCAGTTAGGTTAACGTTAGGCTGACTAAGATGCCAAATCATCGCACACGTCAGCGACCAGTCAGCATATCATTGCCACATCATTTTAAATTATTAAAATAATTAATTTAAAATAAAAAAAAAATAAAAAAAAACTTCACTAAAATTTTCCCTACCCCTTCCACTTTCCCTCATCGCCGCCCCTCAAGCCTGCAAACCTTCATCGATCTCCCCGATTCACCCATCCCTGCCGATGCCGCAGATACCACGAGCTCCCCGGTGGTGGGATTGAAGTCGAGCTCCGCCAACAACAATTGAATCCCAATCAAAAGACCCCTAACCACCACTAACAATGGCGGCAGCACCTCCTGGCCCCTGCTTCTTCTCAATTCAAGCTCGGCGGCTATCTAGGAAACGGGAAGCGAAATCGATTGACTATCGATTCGTCGCCAACTCTGCAAGACCCTTCCCCTTCCTCCCTTTGCTTCGTCATCATCACGACCGGAGATTCTTCGCCTCTGTCGACGGCGGTTTTCTTTCCTTCCATCTCTCCCCGTCTGAAACTTCTCCTTCGACGCTCTCTCGTCGCCAGCGGTAGCAAACTGTGGCCAAGGTGAAGCTGTGCGGCAAGCCAAGGATTAAAAAGATCGAGAACTCTAGCAAACAATTGGCTGATTCGAAGAACGAATCCATTTCAACTTCGGTGCGCATCTCGAATTTCCCACCATTTTCTCTATCTCCGTTCAGCTACAGCGACAACCAAAACTGCTGGAGTGAAGAAAGTCTTTCGCCGCCGCCGCCAGAAATATGACCCCCTGAAGAGGTTCTGACTTCCGAGGAGTTCTATAGCCTTTCGCCGCCGCCATCCTCATCATCGCCTGCGTCAAACACCTTCGTCACCGTCGTCCTCAATTATCGGCGTTCTTTTCTTCTCGTCATTTTCAGAAAGGGAGAGAGAGAGAGAGAGAGAGAGAGAGAGAGAGAGAGAGCAGATCGGCGCTAGTTGGGGAAGAACAGGGGCCGATCGAGAAATGGAAGGATGAGAAGATCGAGAGAGACGAGCTCATCGACTTCATCTGTATTCTTACTCTTCTTTTTCGTTGGTTTTCCAGAAAGAATAAGAGAGAATGAGGGAGATAAGGTTTGTGCGGCTAGGGTTTTTAAGGGTTTTTTTTTGTAATATGGGTTTTCTTCTTTTATATTTTACTAAATAAAAAATTGTTTTTTTGTTAATCCACGTGTCTGACGAGAAATTGCCAGCTCATCATTTCCGTCTGTACAGTCAGATTGTTAAGTAACACCGTTAAAGAGATGGACGGAAGTGGCTATTTGTGGTTTTCGAATAATAATGGCTATATTCGTCAAAAGTGTGAAAGTTATGGCTATACAGATGTATTTTGCCTTAGTTTTATTGAAAGCGAGAAATCATGGATAAAACACTAAATAGATTTAGATATTACGAAACGGATGAATGAATACCATAAATTTTATTTGATTAAGTTAATAACACCAGTAAAACTCTAGGGAAAACTCACCAAGAAAATGCTTTTTAACTAATGCTTTTAAACCTTTCTATGACTTGTATATACCTACCTACCTTTGATTGATGTTCATTAAATACCTTTTACCTTTTGTTATTTTTACTTTTATGTGTGGGTTTCAACTCGAAATCATATGTGTGTGTTATTTTTATCTTTTCAACTCAACCTCTTGTATACAAGCATCGGTTCTAAGTAATGAAGTAAAGAGGGTCCTGTAGAAATACAAATACGAAACTTTATAATATTGATATATGAACCACAAAGGGCATCAAGGCATCAACAATGTAGGCTTAATTCAGGGATGGGATACGGTGACAACTCTTTTAGGGGTTGTGAGTTTGACAACCCACCTCCTCACCATTGGATACGCCCTCTCGAAGGGTATTTTTGGAATGGAAAAGATTTACCACACACAATCATTTACCCTCCCATATAAATTAAAAACAAAACCCTAACTCCTCCCACCCCCTTTCCCCCTCCTCCCTCTCTCACGCAGCCATCCTCCACCACAGCAGTCCTCCACAACCGCAACCCTCCACCGTTGCCGCGTCCTCCATCGCAGCAGCCCACCACCGCCGGCGCCGCCACCCCTGTCTCCCGCAGCAGCCCTCTACCGCCATCGTCTCCGCAATCCTCAGTTTCCCTCCACCCCTTGCCGTCGCAACATCCACTCCGACCACCGCGGCGCAATCATCCTCCCGTCGGAGCCCTCTCACCGCCCTTCGTCTCCCACCACTGCCGCCGTCACGAGGTCACCGTCTTCCCCTACCTCTCTCCCGTCACCGACTCCCCTTTTCGTGATCTGGTTTTTTAGTTGTACCATTTTTCTTCTGATAGCGTACAAGTGATAGTGGTATCTACCGCTACCATCAAGTAGCTGGTAGTGGTAGTGTACCACTATCATCTGCTACCACTACCATCTATTTTTTCGTGTTATTCTCTACTGGTACCGCTACCAGTGCTAGTGGTACGCTATCATTAGCATTGGTAGTGGTAGCGCTGTACTGGTAGCGTACTACTAGCACTGATACATTTTTTAACCCACTAGCTGGTAGCGTACGCTACCAGTGCTAGTGGTACACTACCAATATGATAGTGGTAGCGCTGTACTGGTAGCGTACCACTAGCACTGGTATATTAATTACCAGTAAACTAATGGATTTGTACACTTTTTAACGCACTGGTACATTTTTCAGGTTGCCGGAGAGAATTCGCCGGAGAAAAAGTCTGTCCATCGATGCGGAGTGGCCGCTGGAGAAAGGAAGAGAGAGAGACAGATAGAGATATTAATGTATAGGATTTAAATTAAAATAAAATTTGTATTTAATATGGGTTTTAATTACCAATATAATTAATACAAAAAAGGTAATTAATATATTCCTTTTTTTCATACCCAAAATACCCTTGAAAAACAAATGGAAACAGGGAAGCCCATACAACGTAAGTGGGGTAAAGGCCACATTTGATCACTGGGATTACTAAATCGTGTTATATTTAGTCACTGGAAAAAATTAATATCAATTTTGGTCACTCGAAATACTAAAACAGGTCACATTTAGTCACTCTCCCGTTAACCTTCGTCCAACTCCGGTCACTCGAATTACTTTATTTCTATATGAATGTCACTTGAATTACTGAAACATGTCACATTTAGTCACTCTCCGTTAACGGAGTTGGACTGAAACTAACGGGAGAGTGACTAAATATGACATATTTCAATAATTCGAGTGACTAAACATGACATGATTTAGTAATCTCACTGACCAAATATGGCATTTGGCCAACTTAAGTATCGAGGCCTTTGCGGCCCTTGCTAGAAAACATATTCAAAACATTCTACCAGGAAATTTACGCATCAATGAGATGTTTTAGTTTAGGATGAAAGGTGAGGATTTAATCTTCATTTAGATGCCATGTTTTCTCTTCCAACATATAAAAATAAGGGAGCAAACCAGATGTTTAAGTCTAGACCGCCATTTGTCATTTGTGTTCCACAAGCATATGCACCAGAAAGAACTTCATTTGTTTATTATCCGAGTGTAGTTCTTTCGCTGGCTTGTCTCACCAGATTGATTTTCGTTCTGTTTGGTGAGAACTAGGAAGTGAGATTTATTCGATCCAAAGAAGACAAAGTTTTCATCTAACGCATTCTAATTTTGTCTTTCCTTTTGTACCGTTTGCCAGATATCCAAACCAAGAATTATAAAACCGTATCGACGGTCTAACTGAGGAACATTCTATCGGAGGCTAAATTTACATGCAGTTTTTAGTGGTATGAAATGGTTAGACCACGGTTCAACTATGATTTCAGCATAAAAGTTATGCCGCTAAGGGTGAAACTGTATCAAGCCCAACCCCGACCCTAGAACTACCCCAAAATATCCGGCTCTGTAGGATCAAGCTAAAAACCCGACCCGTCCTGGTCCTATTTCCCCTTGACCCTGCCTGACTCATGGATCAAGCCGGGCCAAGTCTGCGGGTCCGTCCAAATCAACAAACTGATATATACAAATATTACATTTTGGTATCCAAATTTAAATTGTCTTATAATTAATCCCTAAACTTTACTTTTTACAAATAGGTCCAGGAATTTGCATTATCGTACCTACAGTTGTAAAACTTTACAAACAGGTCCAATCTTTTAGTACGAAGAATTTCAAATCACCAGTTTTTGCTATGGGTCAATAGGGCCAAAAGTGACCATCTACGCTAAGTTGACTCGACCCTGTCCTACCTTTACAAAAGATGACCCGACCCTAAACTGGTCATATACACAAACTGACTCAGTCCAACCTCTAATACGATTTTACAATCGTTTATCGAAACGCAAAAGGCATGTCTTCTTTCTCTTCTTCATGCGTACCTTTCTTTTTCTCCTTGGGCATTGAATATAGCATCTTCTTGAAACAGCACTGATGTTAAATCATCATAGTTACTATGTCATGTTGCCTCTTTCTCTCCAAAAGTATTACAATTTATGTGTCAACTCGGTTTGCTGCCGGCAACATCATTTGAGTCTTGAGAGGGTGAATATACATATATATATCAGTCACCAAAAATAAGGTGGCCGCCCGATTGGCGCATAGCAATAGTCAACATCTTCTCTTAATTGTCCCAATCAAACCCGTTTGCACAAAATTAAACAGAATGTTAATTGGGAAACATGATTATACGTGGGGAGCAACAGCTCCAAATTACACATTATCATGTTATAATTATTCATAATAAATCTCTTCCCCTGTTTCGCACCCTCCCCTGTATCTTTCAACCACTCTCTGTTTTGTCCCTATTGCTCCTTCCATTTCCATTTCATCATCACCTTTTATATTCGAGTAACAGAGTTCAGCCATGAGCACAACGACTGGCTGCTGCTAAAGAAGGAGTCTTTTGATCGAAAAGTTGAGGAAGAAGCAAAAATGATGATGTATGATAGCTTGCTGGCGAGAAGCTTCAGCAAACACGAGCAGAAGAAGCTGGGAACAGGGGCATTGGTCATTTGCTTCCTCATTTTCCTCAGCTTCTGCACCATTTTCAAGCCTCAGAAATGGGGTCCCCTGCCTTCACCCTGTATGTAGAAAACAACTCTCAATCCTTTCCTTTTGTCTCAATCTTCTCATTCTGACATCTTAGTTTCTGTTTGTAGTGGATCTAAGGTGGTCTCCTCAAAAGTTGCATATTGTCAATGGTACAGCCACCACTCTGCTCCAGATGCCCAAGAAGAGCAGCAGTAAGTGTGCTTTGCCCTCAGAATGACTCCAATGCTCTGTGATTTCCTCAAGGTTTTCCATGAACTAATTAGCTCAATCCACCTGCCGATGATCACCTCTACAGACGCGGAAATCGCCTCCAACGACATTCCTGCGAAGGAGAACTATACAAGCAGCTCGATGAAGAACAGCGCACCAAATCGTGAGTACAGGGTTTTTTCCTCAAAACAGAAAGCATAAAGGCAAAAGATGTTTTGACTCTACATCCAGCATGATTTTCAGCGAAACAAGAAAAAGTTTAAAAGTTCATCTATCATCATGACAAAAAAAAAGTTGTCAAATTCACAATAGAGATTACTTTCATCACTGATCGGTGTTAAAACGACATCGTTTTGCAGAAACCGCAGGGCATAAAGAATCCATTAATGGTGAGACAAGCAGCTCGGGCCAGCAACCACCCCTCCAAAGTAAGAATTCACAATGTGTAGTATCATTCAAGTTCAAACTTTTCCGGATATTTCCCAGTTGTAATTTGATCAGTGTCTTGTGTCCATGAATATGCAGCTTCTGTGAAACAGAGCGCCAAAACGACGACGAATGGCACGATCACAACGAGCAAAAGAGAAACCCACGCCACACCCAATAACGGTACGTCATTTTTTTGGTCAACATCAAAACCATTTCAGCAAAAACTAATTAGAATATTATTTTTCAAGCCCAAAATGAGGGAAGTTCATGGGCAGCACTGCAGCAGCTGACACCGAGGGAATTGATGTTCTTCTGATTTATATTTTTGTTATTCAATTCGGTAAGCAGGGGAGGAAGACGGAAGAATCAGAACGAACGTGACGACTCCGATTGTCAAAGATGCCAACAACAACAACAACTCTAATCAATTAAGGGAAGAAGGTAAAGTAATTTGGTGGTAGTGAATCTTCCATGGCTAACTACCCTTTACCTAATCGGAGATTACTTTATGGCCTGCTCTTCCCCACTAACTAACCTTCATTATTTCCAATCGTCATAATGATTTATTATTAGCTATAATTCACTTGGGTTGACCTCTGATCACATTATGACAGAGCATTTCTCTCTGTTTTTCCCCCCTTCCACAGATTCTGGACAGGAAAAACAGAGCAAAAAACAGAGCATGGTCTCTGTTACGTGCAGCAGGGGCGAAAGATCGGATTTTTGCGACCTAATCGGTGACATCAGGGTTGATCCCAGTTCAGCAACGGTTTACTACGTCGTCGCCGGAGGTCGAAACAGTGGTAATTCGACAATGTCGATAAAGCCTTACGGGCGAAAGGGCGACGAGGTTGCCATGGGACTTGTGAGAGAATGGAAGGTAAAAACGGTGGCTCAAGATGACAAGGACTCGCCGCCGCCGCGTTGTGATCGGATTCATGAATCTCCGGGGGTGATTTTCTCTCTGGGAGGGTTCGCCGGCAACCATTTCCACGCCTTCACCGACGTTCTCGTCCCGTTGTTCGCCACCGCGCGGCAGTTTCGCGGAGAAGTTGAGTTCCTCGTGACTGACTATCAACCGTGGCTAGTTTCCAAATTCAGAACTATACTCCAAGCACTGTCCACGTAACAATTTCATTTTCCTCTTCAATTCAGTAGACTCGTAAAAAGATCGAAACTTTTTGTTTCGAGGCTGGAAAACTAACATGTTATGACTCAAATTCAGGTACAATTTGGTGGACATCGACAAGGAGCAACAAAGCGGGAAAACACATTGTTTTTCGAGGCTGATACTAGGGCTAAAGGGGAGGCACAAGAAAGAACTCAACATCAACCCATCGGAATCCGAGTACAGGATGGCGGACTTCAAACAGTTCCTGAGAAGTGCCTACTCGTTAAAGAAGGCGACCGCGATCAAACTGCTGCGACGAGGAGCCAGAGACGGCGAGAAATCGACGACGCTGCCGCCGCGGCTTCTGATCGTATCTCGCAAGAGAACTCGAGCGTTCACCAATGTGAACGATGTTGCCAGGATGGCGAGGAAACTTGGGTATCAAGTAACGGTCGCGGAGCCGGATAGGAACATCTCGAAGTCGGCGGAGATTATGAACTCGTGTGACGTGGTGATGGGCGTTCACGGAGCCGGGCTGACCAACGTGGTTTTCGTTCCGGATAACGCGGTTTTGATTCAGGTTGTCCCGCTGGGGGCGGAGTGGGTTTCGAAGACGTATTTTCGAGAGCCGTCGGCGGACATGAAGGTGAGGTATCTGGAGTATAAGATTAGGAGAGAAGAGAGCAGTTTGAGAGAACAATATCCACCGGACGACGTCGTTTTCACCAAGCCGTGGTCGTTTGCGAAACAAGGGTGGGATCTGTTCAAATCGATTTACTTGGACAATCAAAATGTAAAGCTTGATGTTAGAAGGTTTAGACCCACGTTGTTGAAAGCTTTAGAGCTTCTGCATCAGTAAATCTATTCTGTTCATTTTCTAATTGTGTTTTGTTTAATCCACTTCCTTCTTGGGCTTTTAGATGAGAGGATTTGAGAAGTATCCTTCAGAAGCCCATAATTATTTATGTTTATCAAGGAATTCAGAAAAATATGAACATGTCACTCATTCCTTGATCTGACTGACATCAACATGGTTGATTAGTGCGGGCTATTTGGTCCGGGGACTGTTTGGTTTTATCCGAAATCGGACCGTATAACCCAGACCGAAACTGGACTGGGACCGGATAGCAAACAATCCAATCTCATATTCGGACTTAGATTTGAGGTAAAAAACCAGGATAAAGACCGGATAAGAGACTTCCCAACACCTAAAATCAAGATCAAATTGGGACCGAACCGGGTCAAGACCGGACTGTATCCAATTCAATCTTTGATCCTTATATTCCCAAAAAAAAACCAGACTGGGACCGGATCAATTTGGTCCAATTTAACCGGATCTGACCATATAGCCGCCCCTATGATTGATTGACTGCCTGACTCTTTACCTCAAAACTGGAAGGTCAAACCAAAGGGTTGATTTATATCAGATAACAGAACACCTTGTTTCGTGCAAAGATAACGAAATAAAAAGAATTACGAACAAATAGGAAAAGGAAAAAGTTTCATGCCACGAGTCTCATTCCTCTCTCCCTTTTTTCGAACACCCATACTTTTCAACCAATGCCCCAGAATTGCAGAAAGAAACAGTCAGTGAAGCGATCGCGCGACTAATTTTTCGAGAAGTACAATTTCACGTTCTTCCACGTGTACTCACAACAAATCTTCCGAACTCACGCTCTCTCTTTCTACATTTTAATCTCTGAAATCTTAGCATCTCATCATTTTCTTTTACCAATCACATAAATTAGATCTTGAAAAAATCTCTATTGTTTCCCTAGTAATTATGGCTACAGAGCATCAAGGGACGACGACGACAGCAGGAGCCCCGAGGCCGACGAGACCACTCGCCGTCGAGCCAGATAGCAATGGTCTCAACATTCCACTATCAACCAAAAAAGACGACAAAGAAAACAAAAGCGACACCACCACCGACAAAACAACGAGCTTGGAGAGTGGCCGCGGCGGCGGCGGATCTACAACAACAACAACATTCCTCCGCAAAGCACAAAACAGTTGCTCGCAAATACTATACTGGAACAACGCTGCGCCCACGTCGACACAGCTAATCGGGTTCCTCACCCTCCTCGTATCCGGCACCGTTTTGCTCTTCTTCACCGGCGTCACCATCACGTTAGCCATTCTGACTCTCGTCTTCTTCGCCCCGTTGGTCGTCATCTCCAGCCCCGTATGGATCCCCGTCGGCGCGCTTCTCTTCGTTCTCGTCTCCGGCTTCTTGATGGCGTGCGGCTGCTTCGTGGCGTTCGTTGCCGGGTTGTCGTGGATGTACAGCTATTTTAGAGGGATGCACCCGCCCGGGTCGGACCGGGTGGAGTACGCGAGGAACCGGATCGTCGACACGGCTGCCCATGTCAAGGATTGTGCTAGAGAGTATAGTAGTGGGTACATGCAAGACAAGACCAACAAGGATGTTGCTCCTGGAGCCTAGCTCTAGTTAATTAGGGACATGAAATTTTGGATGTTAACGGGTCGGGTCGGATCGGTCGAGTTGGGTTGGGTTGGGTTCACGGTTGAATCTGCTTTAGGATAGAGTTTTCCGACGGGTACTTTGGATCTCTTAGTTTTTCTTTCCGTTTGTTTGTGGTTCTGATGATAGGAACAAGCGAGAGAAGGAATTTTCTAGCGGTTTTTTTTTTTCCATCCCTTTTCTTAAAAGGTATAAATTTCATTTTTATTACCATAAATTTGTATTTTTTTCACTTTGATTATTTTTGTCTTTTAAGTTTAATTTGTATTTTTCCTCTTTTGTTCCTTCTTTACTCTTCGGTGTAATAGTTAGAGGATATCGGACTACTTAACTGTTTAGATTTCGTGTTTGAAAAATTGAGATATGATGTGAGAGCGGTGCGCGCGCACTTTCTTTTGATTATATTTTTTTTAATGAATTTTTTGTGTTTGGAATATTGAGTTTCATATAAAATCGTCATTCGATCAAATATAGAGCTAAATTCGAATAAATTTATCCCGAAATTTTCTTTTACAGTTAAAACATTTTAGGATTGGAATCATTCAAACTTATTTTCAAGTTGTATCATGGACTTAAAACCACTCCCCAGCATTGTTCGCGCATTAGTAAGAAACAAAAAAAAAGTTAATTCAATTTTCCTCTATCTCGTTTTATTTCCTCTGCTTTGTTGTGAAATTTCAAAAGAAGAGCGAGGAGAAGAAGACAAAGAGGACGGCGTCGACGTTGTTGTTACGTTTCAAGTTTACTACACTCCAAATGTATATATACCAACTCCGTTGAAATTAAAATGCTAGCCTTTGCGATTAAGCGCAATACAAGGAGAAAGTACAACAAAACCTGAAATTGTTACCAAGAGAAAACTGTGACTTAATTATTACTTGTTATTTTCTTTCTCCTTTTTTGGTAATAATTACTAATACCAGCTACCAGCCTACCATAGATTTAATTAGAAATTAGAATACACATATATTATGGAAAAAGATCATGACATAAGATTTCGGTCATGCATGCATAATCATGTATATATATAGTTATTAGATAAGTTTGTTTATTATATAGAACTTTCTTATTTGCGTAATGCAGGTCCATTAAAATAATATATATAACCGGGAAAAAAAGAAATTAAAGTATCTAATAATATTGAGCAAAGTGCAAGCATGATCTAGCATGTACTACTCCTAGAATTAATAATTTATTTAATTAATTAATGTGCTTTTTTTATATTGCGCAGAGATCGATCGAAATTCGAAACCCATCTGGCAAAAATAAAGAATTCGATAATCAACTGTACAACCTCATTACATCGACGTAGAATTTGATGAACGAATTCTTACTGACGCCGATCTCTAACTATGTATCCAGAAGTACAGAAGAATCAATGGTGCAAAGGGTTTGGACCCGTTGGAACAAGGCGAAGGTCAACGCCGTAGCGCGGGTCAACCGGTATGATCTCATCGTCGACCGTGGACACCGGCGGCGGGCTCCGTACGGCTGCCGGTTTGTGGCGGTGCCTTTTGAGGAATGGGGTGAAATCGAACTTCTTGCTGCTGCTGCTGCTCGCCGACGACGACACCGCCGGCCGCTTTCTGCTGCCGTCGCCGCTGTAGTAGTAGTAGTAATGTTGTTGTTGAGAAACTGATGAGGCGGCGCCGGCGGCTTTGCCGTCGTAGACTGAGGAAGGATTGAATGGGGAACGGGAGAAGAAGGCAAAGAGGAAGCATAAGCATAGAAGCGAGGGTAACAAATAGGGAATTATAACAATTAGGATGCGTTTCATGGCTAATTAATAGAGATCAACGGCTTATTTGAATTGATGGGGCAAAGATGTGTATTTATGTATAAATAGTAAGGTGGAATATATTGTTCTTGCGGGTGAGAGAGAGAGAGAGAGAGAGAGAGAGAGAGCGACAGCGGCCAGCAGCAGGCGGCAGGTGCTCGCCGGAAATTCATGAATTTCGCCTTTGCGTTCAAGCAAACATTAATTAAAAAAGCACGCTTAAGTCAAAAACCCTTTGCCGCGTTACTTATTGCTTATTCCGATCCTTAAGGTCAAATCTAGAGGAAATTCACGCCTACCAAAGCAATTTTAAGGATGTAAGAAAAGACTAGTTATAAGCATGCATGTGTTTGTTGGTTATGGTAATCCACGCGTAAAAGTCGTACCGTTTGGTTTTATAATTCAAGGGTTGACTTGTATGCCAGAGGAGTCGGATGCATGTGTTCGTGGGGATATCTCCCTTCGACTCCTCTCTCTCTCCCTTGTAATTTTGTCTCCCTCAATTCAAATTAAATTAAACTAAACAAATACTTGGTTTCAATTAGCGTTATTGAGACCGGACTGGATGGGATAGGATAGAATAACAACACACATAGTGTTGTTATAATAACAACAAGGGTAAAAGGGTCCATTAACAAAATAAAATTCAATTAATATATATTTGTTTGTCGCTTCCCCTTCTCCGCTTTCCCTATCCCTCAACTCCGACCCAAATTCCGCCTCCCCTGTCCTGCAACGTCGGTATTTTGATTCTCGCCGCCTCCAGAAACACAGTTACCGATTCCCGCGCTCTCCTGCAATGGGTCCTCATTTCGATCGCTCCTCATCCGATTCATGTGCTTTGACGCACCCTTCGCCACCGAAACCGCCGGTGCCACTCCTTCAGGATACTGCGGATCGACTACTGAGAGGGAAAAGAAATTGGAGGGGCAGAAAACAACACCGACAAAGGCGTTCTCGGTGTCGTCAAGGAGCCGACGGAGATAGCGCGGAACCCCACCACGATGTCCTCCCGCTGCCGTGCGTGCCGACGAATCTCGCCGCACCCATCATCAGAACCCGCATCCCCATGCTCTCGACCTCGGCTGCGACAATTTGATGACCTGTGACTCCCAAGCCTCGGCTGAGACGATTTGTTACGTAATGCTCCACCTTCCCCCTCACCATTCCCTATTTCCCACCCAAAAAAAAATCAGCTCAACTCAAATCCACAAAGAACCCTAATTAAAAGCAGACCAACCGCATTTCACCTCGCAGAGTCAGAAGAAGATCGATCTATTTTTTCGCCGCAGCAAAAGGAGAAGAGCCGACCACCACCGGCCTGCTAGCTCGCTGCCGTCAGAGGCCGGAAATCTTTTGAGGCTTCCACATGGCATGCAGCTTGTATCAGATCTATATCTTGTCTTGTCTATAGATGAATGAATAGAATGTACACAACCGAATCTGAAACCTTTACAGCGAGCGATGATGAGGGAAGAAGAAGAAGTTGGGATCTTCTTTGGTCTGAGGCCACAATGAAGGAATGGCGGAGGAGATGACTTTGTGGGGATGGAAATGGAAGGGTCTTTGTTCGTTTTAGAGAGTTTCCCCTTTTGCCCCATTGATTCTACAGAATGTTCATCTTCTCTTTCTACTGCTTCAAAGGGAATATTTGCATTTTGGGAAATAAAATGGCAGAATAGGAAAGTTAAGCAATTTGATGAGTATTTTGGTTTGGGGGTTAGGGGCGAGCATGAGTTCTGTAGAAATTTGAAATGGTGTTGTGTTATTGGAGCGGGTGTTCTTCATTTGTCAGAAAATGGATTTTGAGTGAATATTAATTATATGTGTTTTTTTAGCTTTTGCCTATTCGAACGCTAGGCAATCTTGTTTTCTTGTTTGCCAAAGTTGTAATATGAAGAGATGAAACAAACCACAAATATTGAAACATTAAAATAAACAAAAATGAAACATACTATAAACCTTCTAATGCATACCATAAATCTCCTAAAAGATACAAAAAATAACACAAAGCAAACCACAAACATTTCTAAAGCAAACCAGAAACCTCCTAATGCATACTACAAATCTCCTAAAACAAACCACAAACCTCACAAAGCAAACCACAACATTTGCGAAAACACACCAGAAACCTTCTAATGCAAACCACAAATTCGTTAAAATATATAAAAAAAACCCACAAAGCAAACCATAAATATTTTGCAAAGCACAACAGAAACCCCCTAATACAAACCACAAACACGGTAAAGCAAACCAAAAACGTCCTAATGCAAACCACAAATATATTAAAACAAACCAGAAACCTCGCAAACCAAACCACAAAAGTTTCGAAAGCACACCAGAAACTTCTTAATGCAAACCAAAAACCTCCTAATGCATACCACAAATCTCCTAAAACAAACCACAAATCTCACAAAGCAAACCACAACATTTGCGAAAGCACACCAAAAACCTCCTAATGCAAACCACAAACATAGTAAATCAAACCACAAAAAAGCAACCATAAACGTCCTAATGCAAACCACAAATATATTAAAACAAACCAGAAACCTCACAATGCAAACCACAAAGTTTTTGAAAACAAACCAGAAACTTCTCAATGCAAACCACAAACACAATAAAACAAACCATAAAAGGCATAAAAAAATATGAGAAACCAAACCATAAATCTCACAATGCAGACCATAACATTCGGTGGTCGTTGACCGTTGACCGGTCAACGAAGACCGTTGACCGAACTCCGGTGACCGTCAGTGAGCAGATTCCGACGCCGATAGGCATATTCCGGCCCCGGTGACTAGATTCCGACGCCGGTAAGCATATTCCGACTCCGGTAAGCATATTCCGGCGACAAAAAGCATATTCCGGTGACCGGCGACCATTTTCCGGCGACCGGTGGCAGAATTCCGACGACCAAATTTTTGGGCAGAAAATAAAAAAAATTTATTTTTTTATTTAAATAGATTTTACATAATGACAATTATACCCCTGCTTTGATTTTCCACTAGGTCAACTCATTTAATAAAAAGTCATCACAATCCTAGCTTCCTATTGGTTGGGGACTAGTGTTGTTACAATAACAACACAATGGGTGTTGTTACAATAACCGGTCCCGGACTGGATCAACCGGTTCGACCATTAGAACCGGCAAAAAGTCCTTTGTCCGGGTGGTAGTTGTGGCTGC